CATATATATGTAGATATGAACGTCTACTTCTTACAATACAGTTTGTCTTTCCATGACTTCACTGCAACGTACATTCCCCACACCTGACACACGTGTACATACATATATGTATGTAAGGCATTAACACAAATTTTCCACAACCAAGCAATAACAACAATATTAACTTACTACACACTAATATGTGGCATACACATTTACAAACTAAAATTTCCCATTACATTATGGCAAAATGATTGTACAAAAGTTACTGTACGGTCATGTGTAGAGAGATTCAAAGGAGCCACAAATGGTTTTTAGTGTTGTGTATTTTGTCAACAATGTGCTTTTTTGATTTCTCTCAAATGGAATTGCCCAGACTCCTAAACTCCCAGGTGTGTGTAACTTAAAAATATACACATACATACATACATACAACACCTTTTGCATTTACGTGGGTATATAATAGAATGTATACACACAAACATACCTTCGTTTAATCATACACCTAAATATAAGTATGTGTTAAACTGATTTAATAATTCATTTTAAGCCTAAATGACAAGTATACGCAGTGGTGCACCCTGCAGCACACGCTTGTGCAGTATTGGTTTCGACCATCGCTGGCATTGAGGGTTGTTGGACGTACTTTAATGCCAAGAGATGTGAAGGCTTTCCATATGTTCTTCATAAGAGTATACGAGTATAAATGAACTGTAGTGTATGTGTGCATACATGCTTGTGTGTAAAGTTAATTTTAAAAAAGTTCTGAACGTAAGTATGTGAGCCTTCAGACTTGTTCACTTTACACTGGAAAACATTAAGAAGTGTTTATTTATGGTTTACATGTGGCCCTATATACTTAAAGTTGCCTTTTTCACGAACACACAAACACATGCACATACATATGTGCGCTCTTTAAAACAAAAATTTTGACACCGAATTTGTTGAAAGATTTAATGAAGTTTCACGAACTAATGCTAGATTAAAAAGGGAAGTTTGTGAAATTTTATTACTTTTTTATATAAATCTCTTCTCTTGACTATCGAATATTTACAGCGTTTTTTGAATGGTTTTTTCGCTCAATGTTTCTATTTTACTTACTTCGGAAGGTTCGGGTACAAATCCTGGTGTGATACTAACATCCAAAAAGTTATAGATAATTAATTTAAATAATAAATTAATCTAAATTTTCTAATCGCAGTCGCTCCCCCGCAGGTGATATCAACCCTTCCGAGTATATTTTTGACATAAAATAAAAGCTTCTAATAAAAAACATCAGCCGTTCGTTGGCGGCTTAGTACAAACTGTAGGTCCCTCCTTTAGTTGGAAAGACATCAGGACGAAATATCATAAATTGGAAGAATAATATATATATAAAGTAACAAGTAACAAGTTAACCATTACTTCTGCAGTATATTGAATGCTTTTTTACTGATTTATGTCAAATAAGCACCGTTTTGCTCGATAACTTTTACTATTTAGAAGTTAATATTATTATGCCTCTCGAATACAAACTCTTATCCCTATTGAGTAAAAGTTTGGACATTCGATTTTTACAGGCTTCTTTTGAGGCCAATTCTTCACCAGTCAAACCATTCGCCATAGACAATGGCCCAATTGGTAATCACTTGTTGCACGGTCTCGACTACAAGTTGGTTGCATAAGAACCTCTCAACCAAGCCCTTGCTGCTTGTGGGCTATCACTATAGATGTGTGCGGTCCGACGTTGTCCTGATGAACACAATTCTCCTACAGTTGGCGAATGCAGAGTACTTTTGAGTGATTGCTTCGTACAGACGGGCCAATCGCTGACAGTATATGTTGGTATGAAGAGTTTGCAAACCTTCTGAACAAAACCCTCCTGGCCGGCTTGGAGACCATTGGAGACCATTAAGTCTAATATAGATGATTTTTGAATCTTATATAAAAGTAATGCTGTTTCGGATAGCGTTGACGCTATGACCTACCTGCTGGATTGTCATACAAATTTGGAAATAACAAAGTGAAATTCTTGAATTGGAAAAAATGCTCAAAATAAATAATTTCTTCACATATTGTGGATGCTATTTTTGAATATAATATTTTCTGAAAAAAAAAACGCATTCTAGACTGGCATTATTTTGGACCATGTTGAAGTCTTTTAATTTACTAAACTATTTTATTTAAATATGTAATTGAAAGTATTCGCAGAATTTTCCAAATTCTATATCTATACTTTATAACCTGGGCTAAATTTTTGGAACTAAATTAATCATAAATTGTACATATTTTTAATTGTTGAATCCGAAACTTAAGTCTAGCTCGACCATAAACCATAAAATTCATATCATCCTTGAAATTGACTTTGCAGTTGTAAATAAAAAAGTTACTCATACGCCATGCCAAAAGAAATATATAATATTTAAATGTTATTGGCTTTATCGGGAGAGAATATCGATTGTATATACTTATACAGCCGTATTCTAAATGAAAATTCCTCGGGAGACTTCTCACTTTTCTCCTTCTCCTATCATATATAAAAAAATTATAAAAATATAAAAAAAATTTTGCGAATTTTTTGTCTTTCCTCGTATTCTAAACAAACATCGAAAATTCCTAGCGAAAAAAGTTGACATCATCAATGCAAAAAAATCGATATTCTGCTACAGTTTTTTACACAGAAGTGGTGTGGGAGTTTTTATAAAAATTTCAAGTATTTAATAGATATGGCACAAATAACCGCATTAATGGTTTATTTAATAATTATTATATGGTATTAATAATGAATAATCGTATTAATGCTTAGGTCAAAAATAGCGACTAAAGTGCAATTGCAGTTCCTAGTAGAGCTGATGGAAACTCAACCGGCTATAGCTTGAGGATTTTTTAAGAGTAATAAGAAGGAGTTGAACCAATTTTAGGAGAAGGTGAATAACGAACTAAATACTGCGGAGCCGCCTGTAAAAAAAAAAATATTGTAGAATGGAAGAAGGTAAAATTTCCTTTCCCGTAGAAGAAAACACGATGGGAAATGTCCTATTGCAAAGTGTAAAATGTCCACTCCCGAAGAAATGAAAAAGTCGATGGAATGGTTGCCTGTGAGGAGCAGGAGATCTTGCCAAACGACGTAGATATCTAATCTGGTCTAGAATTTGTCTACATTGAAGAATAATTCGTTGCCATTCTTACACATTTGCTTCAATAGCCAAAAAATATAGTGCCACAGTACCCGTAATTCTAATTTAATTTTAGTTTTCAATAACAATTGTTTATTTCACCAAATTATCAAATGTCTATAATACACAATTCCACGAGAATATTGAGAATTGCGCTAAATTAAAAACTTATATTTTGCTTCCATTGATCCCCGAAACTACTTCGCAGACTATACTTGTTTCTATGGTTACTGGAAAGGCTAGTGCGAAAAATTTTTTTTTCGAGAAATGGGTTCAAGGACTAGCCTATTCGAAAAATTGTATTTACTTGAAATTCGCTACTTAAGTGAATTTTTGCTTAGATTAGCAGAAGAGCTTCTCCTCTCTCTGGTAAGTAATTGTGTTTATGGTTTGATTTACATGATATAATATTTTTTCTCTCCCCGAGCTGGCTCAGAGATCCATCAATTCGAAAAAATCGTATTAATGGTTATTTTTAGTCAAGTTAGTAGTCAGTGTCCATATTGGGGATAAAATTTCTTTGGCCTACATAATCCTACAAAACAATAAGCACCCGGAGCTTATGATTTGCCGGATTATCCAATCCACACTGTATGATCAATAATGAGTCCTCCATATTGCAAATAAGATCTTGTCTAGCGTACTGTGGAAAAGTCTAAATTTACCCATTAAAACGCTCTAGAACGCTTTTTGTACCATATTTTAAGCTAAAATGGTATATTAACTTTGGTCCGAAGTAAGTGTAAATACCAGAAGTAGAAGAAATAAGCAAAAGTTACACCGTTATGATCAGACCGATGCGCAGAGTTGATTTAACCATGTTTGTACGCAAATTAGCCCTTAAGTTTTCAAGATATTTCAACCGAATTTTATAAGCAGCCGTATTTGAGACCGGCCATATCGGACCACTATAGCAAATAATCCTCATACAACCGCTTACTTCAGATACTAAGAGAGTGAAATTTGGTAATGGATATATGTATCATATAGCCACCATACAAGCAATTTGTTCAGATATGAGAATTAATCAGGAGTGTTTTAGAAATCGACACAGAATTGGTTATTTTTCGGAATTGAAAATCAATATCTGTTTGAAATGGTGTAATAAAATCGACTTGAATTTGCTTCTTTCTTTCATTTCGAATCAACAATTCAATTTAATTTTTGTACTAGGTTTAACTTATTTGTAATTATTACTTAAAAATAAAATGGCTTCGGTATTGAAAGCATTTTTTGAAGACAGAAGGATTTGGAAAAATCAGGCAGAAAATAAAATGCAAAATTTTAAGTGATAGAAGCAATTCGCTAGAGCGGCCAAAGTCGACGATTAACTGCTGGGTTTAATTCTGATATTTAAGCCGATAAATCAATTTCTGCAAAGCACATACCCGATACATATTCTGTTTCGGAAATGAAGCCAATATGCAAATCAATAATCCGAATTTATAACATCTTAAGCAAAATTTTGGCGGTTTTAATTCCGATTCTGACAACAATCTAATTCTGTAAAATATTTGAAGGAATACATAAAGTTTTTCTCTAGGTAATACTTTTAATAATTCTTTCCCTTGATAAAGCGTGCTAAAAAATTAAATTCTACAAAAAAATAAATAGAAAATGGCAGAGTTTTATCATATTTTATGCAATATTTGCATTTCCTTAACTATTTTGTTTTCGATATCAAAGAGATATCTTAATTTTTATTTAAGTTATTCAAAGCGAGAACAGTGAGATGAATGGTTAAAGGAGTAGACAGACTTCATATTCTTTGAAAATTATTTAAAACCGTTACTGATAACCCTTAGCTAAACAAAGCTATTCACCCATTGTCTACACTACAATTGGGTGCAATAAAAAATGTTGAAATAGACTTGTTATGGTTCAGCATATTTATTTACTGATTTACTGCTTTTTCTCATGTATAGTTGATATTTATCGATTACATTGGCATATAATAATTTGATATTGCAATAATATACAATTGCATTAAAACTTTAATTTTCAACATTCCACTTACAACTTCTCAATTTGCTTACCATTCTAACAAATTCCAACAAAATCATTATTAAGCGAAAAATATTACACTTTCAATAATACTTTGAGTATTGCATAATTTACATACATAAATATGAAAGCACAATCAGCGCTAATTTTACCTACAAAACACCGTAGAAAATGCATCACACAAAAAATAAAACATATCTATTTAGATCTTGCTACAAGGTGTTCGTTCCATTCATTCACAAATAACCTATTTTGCTAGCAAAAACACTTAAATTGCAAATAATTACAGTTATTAAAACTAGGATTAAATTAGTTCGAAGATTTCGATTTTGGTGAGTTCTCCACTTTATTTTCACGCACCATTGTCAGCAGTTGTAACATCATGAGCGCTTGCACCTTATCCAATGGATCCATGAAGCCTCGTTGCAACCATTTGGGTATAGTTGTGCGCGCATGCGCAAAACCCAACTTATTCAAAATGTAATCAATGCCATAGGGCTCAATAGATTTACCAGCCCATGATAGCAGACGCACAGTCGGTTCCAAATGCCATGTTTGGCATTCAAAGTGACGCCAATCACGTACAAACGATTCCAAATCGATCGAGTTGCCATTTATGCCAGCGCCATTCGCTGCATTTGATGTTGTTGCTCCACTAGTGGGCGAAGCTAAACCGCTAGCAGCTGCAGCTGATGTTGATGGTGTTGGTGAAGCAAGTAAGTTTGCATCTTTCTTGCCTACACTAAAAGCAGCGTCTATATTCGTTTTGCTATTGCTCTTACTATCGCTGTTATTGGCATGTAAGCTGCTACTCTGATCCAATGCAGGGTTTGAAGCGGCGTTAACAGACGTATTGCTGGCCGTAGCTGCATTTGCTGCTGAACTATTACCCACGGGCGACGATGGCTTATTTGCATCTTTGAGTATTTCGTCTGTTACATATGGTTTCAATTGACTCTTTAAATTCTGTGAAAGATTTGGCGAGGCAGCACGTACTGATTGAGCGCCGACCTGCTAGAGAGTATGGTATAGATTGATTAGCAAATAAAATGTGGAGCAAGATTTTTAATATCCCTTACCACTTTTTCCTTCTCCTTAACGTAAGAGGTAATCAAATCGTGCAAGAAAAAGAATGCATCGGCATCCACTGTTACAAATATGTGATCATCAAATTCGGTTATGAAACTGCAGAGCACTTCCGGCTTGTTTTCTGTGTTTTAAGAAAAGTGATTGCATATTCAAAAGGTTTTCTCCATGGTGCTAGTAACTTTATTTACCTGTCGCTTCTGGCGTATGAGCGCCTTGTCTGTGTTCAGTCTTGAAGTTTAGTTGCAAACTGGGCAATGCAAATATCACCTCCCGATTGTGGTTGTGTTCCTGGGTTTTAGAAGAATTACTTGCGCTGGCGCCTGCAGCACGCGTACGTTCTATGGAGTTCGATGCGATCTCACGATCACGTTCTAATATGGGGAAACGGTCCACAGCTAAAGCACAAAAGTTAATATTAGCCAAATCTGATATGTATATAGAAATATATATAAATGAATAATGGCTTACAATCGATTTCGCTATTGGCAAACGCATAATGGAACCATTCGTTCAGTGTTTTAAATTGAGGCGGGAAAATTATATTACGCGAAATTCTACTGACAATGGCCATGGAGTGATTCTGCTGTTGCACCTCCGTAGTCTGCCCTAAGCAAGATGTCAGTGTTTGGGTTACATATACGTCATGTGTGTCATGTGCTTGATGTGCCTCAGTGGCGAAATTGATTGACGGCGACTTTAAACTAAACAAAGCCCACGATTTCGACTTGAAATTAATGCCATGGAAGCAAGCTAACGAAATATTATTGCCATGTAGCTCCACAGTTCCACCGAGCACATTACCGTTACGTGGTAAGCGTGTCACCAGAGTCGGCACTACCAGACCAATAGCCTGTTCTAATGGTTTCTGCCAATGACGATGATGTCGAGCATCAGTGTTAGAGAAATCTGGGTTTTGGGTAGCAGCAGGGTCAGTAGCGCCATTTGTTGTTGCTTTCTTCTTATCACGATTATGTCTGCGCTTCATGCTCGCATTTCGTTCATGTAATCGTGGTTCGAGACTGGAAAATACGCGCTTCGACGATTTAAATTGTTGTGTGAAGAATTCTTCGAGTTTGTAATACATTTTTAGGAGATCCGCTGTTGTGGACTTTGAAATCATTATTTGCAGCTGAAAAGAAATGCAAGGTTTTAGTTGATATTCCAAATTTTTAATATTGTGTCGTTTTCAAATAAATTGTTAGATAATAACACCCACCTGATCCCACGACAAATCGCCATGTATGAAAATTATCGCTCGCGGCTTGGTAGTATGGCCTCCAACCGTAATTACGCTGCCGCCATAATCTGTTGCGGACAACGCATTTATGGAGGTCTTCCATTCGTCTTTCATTGCAGCCAAAAACGAACTGATTCGCGTCATCAATACCGATGTACCCATATAGTCGAGTCGTAGCTCTAAAGCCATAAAGCTCAAACGTATGGTATGGTATGGTTCCACACCAGGTTCTTCCTTTATATGGAAACGCGTATTGATTTTATTCACTTCAAAGCTACCACCGACTATGCCGCCTTTAGCATCCAACGATGAGCCACCTAAATATATACCAATATACATATTTTTATAGCCAGTACTACCGATAGAGAGTCTGCCATCTGACTGAAAGTCCTTGGTTAGCCACACAACATTGCCCATTACATTACCCATGTTCATTTGTACATTCAATTTTGTGAAATTCACAGCAAACAATACCAACGTTTCCCACGCAGTTATTTGGTTCTTCTCGGAAGGCGGTGTACTTGATGACTCGGCGCTGGAGGACTTGCCCAATGAACGTAGTTTACGTACAGCACCCGAATTCGGTGCCTGTTGTGGTGGCGATGATTGTGAATCGAAATCTAAACTCATTCTATCCTTGCTATAAAATGTTTCTGCTGGTGATTTGGAAGCATCGTAACCAGTCGTCTTACCGATGCCCCCGGTGGCATCCTTCGGCGTGGATGGCGTACCAGTTGGTGTGGCAGGCTCTGTGCCGGCCATGTGTTGCATGCTCAAATCGCCGAGGAATAATCGTCGTACTATGCGACGCCGATACCAAGCCTTCGGGAATGCCAAAATCTCGGTTAGACGACGCATATCGTATTTGAACGAAGCGCTGCCAATATCCACAATAGTCGAAAATCGTATAACTGCACGCGATTGATCCACGGAACGTTTACTCATAACAGCTGGCTCAACATACACTTTGCGGCAGCGTGTCAATTGGAATTTCACAAACTCCACATTTATGCTGAGCGAATCTTTACGTTCTGTGTCCGAAAGTGGCGAGAATTGTGCCTCTTTCACATTTGACTTCTTGCCTCCGTAAGGGTGAAAGATATACACATTGAAGTCGGCCAAACAACCAGTTACACTGTAAAAATAAAAATAAAAATATTGACATTTTCGCTCCAATAAACACCAGCAGTAAGACTCACCTCAAGCCCCCAGTAGGTTTTTTGTCCAAATTATGTTCCTGCTGGTTTGGTGGTTCCTCATCAGCGGAACGTTTTGAACTGAAAACTATATCCAAACTCGGTAATTGCAACATGCATTCCACACGCGAGACGGGCAAGCAAGAGAATCGAAAAGTTGACGGTTGCATGTGAAAGTAAACTATAACGTCCACTGGGAAGGATGCATAAGTAACATAGTTTGTGGGTAGAATATCCAAGTTGACTGGGTTTGCCGATGGTGTTTGAGCGCCACTAAGATCAGGCGTTTTTGTGGGTATCGGTTCTAACGTCTGTTCTAAAAATTCCAAAATATGTGGGGAAATAATCGTTTCCTCTGGTATGCTCTGCAACGTCATCCAAGCAAAGAGCGACGCGCGTTTGCTACCCAAGCGCCGTAACTGTGAGTGGTGGCTATCTCCGCTCATGCTGCGTGTATTCTCCGTGAAATCGGTCACTGTACGTGACTGATAGTGTAATTTTACATCCAAACCGGGTATATGGAATATTGTGAGCTCCGAGAGCATTGCATTGCTTGATGTGTTGTACCGCAGCTTGCTTTTATCACGCTGTCGACGTGATGGTGTCGGACTACCCCAATCGTTGCCTAAGCTGCGCTCACGTTTATGTGTCTTTACCGTTGTTGGGCCGCTCATCTGTAAACGCTCTTCAGTGGTCTTTGTATCTTTAGTATGTAGCACACATTTGCCTGAATTTACAAGTACTTTTATGTCGAGTTCAAAATCAATATTGGGTTCTTGCTGTTTCTGCTGATAACCGTGCTTTTTACGCATTTCCACCGAGGTGCCGTCAATGTCCATTTCACTTGGCGTCGATTCGCCGTGGCCTTCCTGTGTGCGCCAATCGATATCTTCACTGTCCGTGTCGGCATTGGGCAACGACGTCTGACGCATCGATTCGGAAAAGGTTACACGATTAGCTGGGCAAGTTTTTAACGAAGCGCTACGTGAGTGCCCCGAAACAGGTGTACTCTGTAGGCTGGAAATTTCATCATTGGAAGCAATGGGATCTAAACGCCGTCCCGTATATGGACCAGGCATTAGTGTATCATCTGATTGCTCACGATTCGCTGAGGCGCCAATGAACGAATAAGATCGACTGGAGGATTTCATTGGCCGACGCATGGATGGGCGCTTCCATTTCTGGATCATATCACGACGGAAATATTTATAACATATCGCTTGTAGCTCCTGCAAACGCCGCTCTTCGTGCGCCACGGTATTATGTGAAGCGCCAAGTGTGCGCAAATCATTGATGATTTTCAATTGCTCCGCCATCTCTTTTTCCATCATGAATGAACGCTTCTTCGAATCGATGGTCGGATCGAACACGAACGATGGCAGATTATCAAATTCACGTCGGCGCACATAGGTATCACGGCAACTGTGATCGCCTTCATCACTATCCGGCGATTCCATGTTGGTCTCTTCCTCCTCAAAGCCCGTCAGCATTGTGAGTGTGTGACCGAGCGAGGAAAGTTGTTTGCCTATATTCACATCAAGATGTATGTCAACACCCTCCATTTGCCACTTCACATTAAGCAACCATTTGGCGTTTTCCATTTTCTTTGCAGCAGTTGTACGCGAACACACCTCATATGTACCCTCAGAGACAACACAAACATTCATTATGGGTTCGTTGGCATTTGGTTTCCAATCATCCAGTGTTGTTTCGAAATCATCAGCGAAACGGAGGCACAAACCTTGGAATTTGCCCTTGGAGACCAGTGAACCAGAGTTGCAAGCAGATATTATAGTATTCTCGAGAGTTATAACAACAGCGCCTTTGCTTTCAAAGTCATGATAAGTGCGTGAGCTCCAAGGCTATCGAAGGAATTAAAGCAAATTATTACAACAGAATTGCGAATCGATTATTATAAAACATTTAACTCACATTGGTCGGTTGGTTTAACGGCACACATATGCCCATATCCTCTACAGTGAGTTGCAAAAACAATGTAGACAAATTGGAAGCGGCTATATTGCTGATCTGTCCGAAATCCACACGATCAAAAGTCTGTGAATATAAATTAAGTATTACGAAACAGAAGGCACCTAAAATTTCGTACACTTACCTGTGAGTTGTCATAGTTCAAATTGGCGCGCTTCTCCGCCCAGTATTCGTAGGCATTCTTATAATTCAACCACACCAATATGGCCTTATCCACCGCAATGGGTTGTATATAGAGTAATGGCCGTTTTAATTTCAACAACACCAACTCCTTATCTTCATTCAACAGCTCATCTTGGAAGGCGTTACGCAAACCGATAGTGGTGTGAAAGAATGCATATTGCTGGAATTCCGGTTCGGCTTCATCGAAAATCACATTACGTATAATTTGGCCAAGTGACAGATTGAAATCGATATGCGCTTTGCCAAACATTTTACGATCATTGCCTTCACCCAAATTCTTCACACGATTAGACAGATGCAGCTCCAATGTGCCGGTCTCAAAGCGTACGGCTGAAGAGCATGGTGTTGTAGCGGTCAATTGTATGCGTTTCATTGAGATATTAATAGAGAAGAGTATGCGTTTGAGAGATGACTCTTGCATGCTGGCTGTATCGCCACTATCTTCGGACCACAGTGGTACAGGCTTTTCTCCGCCATAAACTTTTTGCAATACTTCATTGATTTCGCGCATGAAAACCTTCTGCACAAAGACCAGGTGATTTAATAGATCTGTGGTGAGACAGCGTTCGAATTCTCCAATCTCTGCTGAGGCATTCACATAACCACCTCGACGTAAAACAATACCCTCAACGCGTTCCGTCTCCTAAAGTGCGTGAATGCACGAAATTTATACACAACTACTAATGTTTCTTTGTCATTTGATTAATGATTTCGCTACATACCTCTTGCCGATGTTCGGGTATATATTCAGCGCTCACATGTACTGGTGGCAGCGCTATGCAGGCTTCTGAGGGCAAATTCATTTCATTCTAAGCATAAAAAATTATAATTTAATCAACTTTGTTCTGTCGACACACATTTAATGAAGCAAAGGTAGTAAGTATGACAACTACTCACCCGCACCTGTATCTTCGTATTGAAGCTGAGCGTATGTGTCGGCAAATCAATAACGAATTTTGCACGATTACCCGTCACACCTGTTGAACTAACGCAATTCATGCGATACTGCGCTTGTAATGAAGGCAACAGTGCTGCATTTATTGACAAACTGTGCAATAGAATATTGAATTGCATAACTAACGGTTGGAGTAAACCATTTTGCTGTGGTGGTAGCTTATGTGTGGGTGCTGGCTTTTTACTGGATTGTTGTGTATGTGTCTTTTCTTTGGCATCAACGCTTTTACCAGCCGTACGTGAATGATAAGGCGACTCTGGTTCATCTGGATTGTGTGCACGTGACGCCGAACGGCCAGAATTACGTCCAACACGCAGCTCTTGCAGAGTAGAACTAAGCTGCTTAGAGCTGCGTGTCATCATGCCATGCAAAGCAACAGGATGTTGTGGTATTTCAATATTTACAGGACCAATGGAGAGTAGACCGCTGTTTTTATCTTTGCCACGCTTTGTCAAGCTGGAGTATAGAGTTTGACATTTGCCGACGGTCACTTTTACGACAGTTCTGTGAAATAGAAATACATTAGTATTCACTAGAAGTATGTGAAAGTCATATCGACTAACTGTTGATTTGGTGCAACGCCCTCTAACAGTACGATCATAGTACGCCCTACTTGACCAGTAATTGAGCATTCTAATGAGACTGGTCGTGCTTTTTTGCGCCATGTAGCACTGCCATTCAGTGTAGTAATTTCAGCTTCCAGTTTTAAACCACTCAGTGTTGCCATTAAACGTGTTTTATGAATTTTCGCAACAGCGAACACAACTAAGCGCGTCTTTTCTTGTGATAAGGTTTCTGTAAATAGGAAATGCAATGTGGGAAACTCTTGAATAAAAAATAAAAAACTTTAATAAACCTACCAACTAATTCGCGATGCTGTGGCAAGGGAGTTGGCGCGCTCGTGCCATCATCTTCTTCGTTGCGCGTGTCTTGACGCATAAAACCACCCACAGGAGTCTTCTTTACACCATATTTTCCATCGTGTGCTTCATTAGACATGGAAGTACGTTGCACTGTCTTTGTTTCGGGCATTGTGCCATATAATTCCAATAAATTGTAAATAGTTTTCCAACAATTCGGAGTCTGCAGCAATGGCTGGATGCCATCAAAGTCATTTTTGGTAATTGTATTGTAGTCACCACTCACACTCGTAGCGCAGACGCCATTCAGCGATGCTTTGGACTCTAGCAACAATTTAAACATGTGCTGTTCACTTACAGACGTGGTGGGACTGTCGCGTAGGGGTGAGGAGCTGGTCTCATTTAAATTTGTGTAGCCTTAAAGAGTATTTATGTATAAAAAAAAGTTTTAATGCACAAATACAAAACGAAGAAATAACAAACCTAGTTTTCCTTTGACCGATTTCCCAGTTGAACGTAACTTTTGGGCAAAACTTGATGGTCGATTTCGTGCATTTGGCGATGGTGTCAGCTGTATTAAAGGACCAATTCCGCTTGGTCGTACTCTGTCATAGCACAAAGAGACATTTAAGAAATATATTATTAGAACGGTCAGTTCACGAAAGCTTACCTGCCACCAATGGGATGTGTCATGGAGATCATTTCATTGAATTTGTCATAACGTTCATCTGAAGAATTTTCGGTATGCGCAAAGCGATCTGATACAGAACCAAAAGCTGCAATATCATTTGGTTCAGAGGCTGAAATTTATGAAAAAAATACATATATATTTTGAATGAGTATGTGTATGTTGATTATCTTCAAATATACCTAAACTGCATTCATCTTTGGCATGTGACTTTCTAATCAAATCTGGTTGCTGATGGAACTCGTTTTGGGCATCTTTAACATTTTGATACATGTTAGTAATTTGATGTAGCAGACGGAGAAGCGGCATATTGACCTGTTACACAAATATTATGTTTATTCATATATATCATTTGCATACATATGTATTTTGTTAAGGCAAATACAAATTTTGAATGATAATTCACAACTTTTGTAATATTTTAATGTCTCATGTACAATTTCGTTTCGTACTCACTTGCTGTGATATAAACCGTATATTCAGGCTTAAATTGATCACAGTACTTGTGTGCTTTTTCAGTTGCCGGCGCGACATGTAAATTACATTTTGTCGCGCCTGATCAACCATACCATCGGATTTCTTCAACACTTCCAGCTCAACACCAACACGTTCACACAAAAACAAAGGTGTATCCATCATAATCGATTGCCGTCCTGCACCATTAGACTTTTTATTCAACTTTGAACATTTATTCTTCTTATCACCAGCCTCACTAACAACAATATCAACACGTATGGAGTCGAAGGTGCCAATAAGTGAAAGGTTGGTGCCGAAATTCTCCAGGGATGAAATGTCTGCAAAGATATGTAATATTTGCATACAAATTCAAAGTACATTTTTGAGTAATATTCAATTATGTTAGATATCTATTTATACATTACCCGCATTTGCAAACTTATTCACCATCTGTTGCGGCATTACACCCAGGCATGTGAGCAACGGTTCGAAAATCAAGTGCGCATCGAGCAGTTTTATTGAGTCCTGCAAAATACCACCACGAGTTTGACCAACGCCTGGCACTTTTACCGGTACTGGTCGTATAGCTTCTCTTTCTGCTGAATTTTCTTTCTTCTTATTCTCCTGCTGTTTAGCCATCCAAAAGTATAAATCTTCCTTTTGATTTTCCGGACCAATCCAAAATTTATTTACCGAATTGCTAGAACTCAATGAACCCTCCTGCAATGCACCATACTCTGAAAAGATAAATCAATCATTTTTAATAAGAATTGGGGGTAAAATTTTACTAATTATTCGAGCTCACCGAATTCCGGCACCTGTTTCTCCACTAATCCTGAGATTATTGGCAACATTTGTATGCTGGAACGAGATGAATTGCCATGTGAAATATTCGAACACTTACTTAGCGCTTTGCTGTGTTGGCAACGAAAGCGTTTATGTTCACATTTGCGGTAATGTTGTTAAAGAATCGCATAATAAACAGAAGCACGCATATATTTACACATCAGGCACAAGTATACGAGGATATATATAAATATACATTTCAATAAATGCATGTATGTAAGCCAATTAAACAGGGAACAAATGCATATACAAAATGAGAATAAAAATAAATTTGGGACAAACGATTAATAAATATATACAGTTATAAGAGTTGCTCTAATTAAATCAGTTCAGAAGAATATATACATACAAATAAATAATAACTCACCCTTTCCGTGTTGAATGTATATTTGGCGAAGTGGAGTTGGAACGCTGTGCGGCGCCATGCAGTGACGCCTCATTGGCAAAGCTCATGCCAAATTGTGAGGTATCTACATGTACACAAAAGATTTTTAATTAAAACCAGAACAAATATTGGAAAACAAACAACTGTGTATAGTTTGTGCTATAGACATGAGTGCCACCTGTTTGAAATGCAAACGCGATAATAACGTGTGCAATAGTGTAACATAACAAAAGCAAAAAAAAAAAGAAAAAAAATTGTTTATTAAATAAATGCACACTGCAAGACAATCATGTTTATATAACAAGACCATACGAATTTTGATAGCTTGAAAAATATTTGAAAATATCAGATTATTAGATCGAAAAGAGATATAGATATTGTGTATATGGTGTTAACAGCACATTTGAGCTATGGCACGCAATGAAACCATAAGACACAAAACGTAATGAAGCAAAGAAAATATTTTTAATTAATTGGAATAGTGATTGATTTTGAATAAAGGTTGTAGTAAATAAAGCTGAAACATTAGAGTTTCGCCAAATACCAAAGCAAACTGTACATATAACACAAAACAGTGGTAAAAACATATATCACATAAATAAAAATTAGATATAAAACACAATTTAAAGAGAAAAGCGTGTAGTGCGCGAGTGCGGGAGAGCTGCAGATTTTAACCATAAACGGAAATGCACTCAAGCAATCCTTCAAAAGTATTTATGTTAAGTTATTTGAATGCGTCATTGCAGTAAATTTGCACAGTAACATATTACTTAATTGTTCAATATTTATGTATATTAAAGTAGCTTGTTGTTGCGCCTCAAATATTCTTACAGCCAATCAAATGGTAATAGGTTGGTTGTAAAAGCCAGAATAGCTTAAAATTCAAAGCAGAAAATAGAGAAGAGTAAAAATTAAAGAAAGAAAAGTGTGTACGTGATCTCCTCGAAAGTCATAAATAGTATGAGGGGAAAACGCTGTGTTTGTTGTTGAGAGGTGGTTAATCAAAAATACCAATATGATTTCGATGATGCTGTGTTTGCCCAAGTAATAAAGCATTCTCACTCTCTTCGGGATTGTCGACGACTCCCGCATAAACACCCATATCTGCTTCACCTTCACATTCCGCATCGTCGCATTCCTCCTCCTGTTGCGGAAACGAAAATGTCACATTTATCGGACGTGCTAATTTATTTTTATATTGATGTTCAAATAGTATTGGATTGTATAGTGTATTCTTCCACTGACGACTCAATACAATCACACCCTGCAAGAATTAATAAAAATTATAAATTTAATGATATTGACTTTTGGAAGACAATAGCAACCTGACGCAATGTATTCAAATGTGGCACATCACTTTGTTTGAAGATTTGCTCAACTTTTTGCACACCCTCATCCAACACCAGTTTTTGCATGATATAGCAGAGTTGACAGCTTGGATCTTCTTGTAGTGTTTTTGAAAGCAGCGTATAATTGTTGGAATAGCGGCTCTGTTGTGGTGAAAAAAAATTATTTTATAGAAATTATCATTTCATTATACGAAAATTATGCAAACCTTTTTGATTTTAGGACTGCGTTTTATTTTATCATTATCCAGAGCATCCGCCATAAGACAGGCGGCTATGGCGGTCTGTCGCGTATGCAATGCGCGCATTAGTGATACAATTTTTATAGCCAAACGATTACTGGGATTCATCCAGGCGGTAATAGCCGGCGAAGCGGTGCTCAAGAGATTCCAATCGAGCCTGAAAAGTAGTAATTAAAAGTTCTTGTATCAAAAATAACGTTCATTTTACAATGTAATTTATTTATCACACACTAACCGAGTCAAATCTATTTTCCTTGTAATCGGCACACATGGCGGCGCTGCGAAATTAAACCAAACCGATTTCAACTCAATTACACATGAGGAATTTTTCTCTGTCTCTTTTACATTGGGCGTCTTCTTATCGAACGATTCCTTGCCACCATTCTTACCCTTCTCGACATCTTCTTCGGCCTGTGGTTTCGCCGAAGTGGATTTGCGATTTTCACTCATACTCTCCGTACGCTCTGGCACTATAATACTTTCCAAAGCTGTTTGGAACTTTTCTTTCGGTGTTTTCGGTGTTGGTGGTTTTTTGGTAATCAAACGCCAAGCTGCTTCGGCTTTCGAGGTCGCGCTACCATCTGCATTCGCGCCACTCACAAGTTCACTTATATTAACACCACGCACAATGCCTGCTGCCTCGGTGGCACTTTCAGCAATATCAGCCAGATCTTCTTTAGTATTCTCGGACTTTTCGAAATGTGAACGTTTCACAATTTTAACGCCTACACCCTCCAAGCCACACTCAAAGATTATATAGCCAATACCTTCAATACCACCCGTACTTTCTGGCATTTTAAGCAACTCAAAAAGCACTTTACTTTTATGTTCTGGTATAGCAGTTACAATTACAGGTGATTCTTGTCCACAACTCGATTCGGTTTTCAAGCGACGCAATTGCGCATGCGCACGTCCTATATCCAATGTGATTACCAACTCCTCCAGCTGTTTCTCGGACGTTTCAATTAATATGGGTTCGCCCTGTATATTATCTGGGCGCGTTTGCGAGGACAAATGCGCTAAGAGGGCGCGTGTACCCTTCATTATGCCACCCTTCTTTTGGCTATTACCCGATTGCACAGTTTGCTGTATGTAAACGTTGTGCATTGAGGCACGTGTCGTTTTACCCAAATGAAATTTAGTCGATACACCTTCTATGTAGAATGTAAGCAAGGAGACGCAACTGAGATCCTACAAAGCGTATGAGAGAATATTAATGAATACAATTTCATTGAGTATATTGTGATTGAATCACCTGTACATTATCCAACGCAGCGACTGAAATAACCTCCTCAATTATAGAAGACTGTAACATGGTGATGCTCACTTTTGGCAGCACAATCAAGCCCTGCGTCTTTGTCGATATACTCTCCTCGTAGACATCGCTAAGGAATGAGTCACCAGGTCCTTGTAAATTACGTTCCGTTGTTGAACGTTTCGAGTTCGAATGTACCTGGAGCAAAAGGAAGAAGTGCAAAATAGTGATGGCTTTATTTATAAACTCGACTTCGACCAATAATTACCTGCGACCAATAACTCAGACTTTGATCACGCTTCAGTATGTTATCATTCTGCACCTTCGCAATGCATGAGGCGTGTATGTGATTTACCACGGAAAGCAGATGCAGCGATGATATTGTCGGTATGCTGGCCTCGACCATTCTGTTTAGAAGAAATGTTAAATGAGTTAAACGTAGTTTCCTTGATTAAATGATCATAGTTAAAATAACATGCTTCAGCAAGCCACTATCAGAGACAATTGGGGCTCTCCTATTGGCAGCTACAATGGAAACTGGATTTAAACTCCTTTGTTAAGAGCTGTGTCAATATATCTGGAAACTTTTAAAAACCTTGATTCATTCAAAACATACACTTTTTATACCTTTCATGTCCATGAAATGGTGAATAATATAATATTTGGTTTAAAGCACATGAATAGGACGTTCGTATATACATATGTTATAGTTGACCGATCTGATGGTTCTGACAAATGATCGGTGTCTGTGCACCAGGTTTGTTTAAAATATCTCAGAAACTGAGAGAATTTGCGTATAAAAAGACGCACATGCCTAAATCAACTCCACTCCTCCATCATGCACTTACATACTTCGGACCCTTCAGTTTATATTTTAATGTGGTTTATTTGAATGGAATCGAAATTAGCAGATATGGAAGTTGTCGGTTTTCAGAGCAGGAACAAACAACGAAGACGGTTTGCCGGCTTCCCTTTCACTCCACTCTGATTATCAGAGATGATGTGACTAATTATTGCACGAATTTTACGATGACCTAGGTATTATCGTCCTTCCGCCGAGCTCCTCCTCCAATTTGTGGTTTTGCATCTTGATGTTTTTCCAACAAATGGAGGGACCTACAGTTTATACTAAGTCGCCTCCGAATGGCTGATGGATTTTATTATGAGGAGCCTTTATTTCATGTCAGAAGTACGCTCGGAGGTATTGACATTCCCTGCCGAGGGGCGACCGCAATTAGAAAATTAAACCTAATTTATATGCATATATATAAGTGCTGTCGTCGAATAATCTGAAGGAAACGCTACCAATCAATAATAAACAAACTTAAACTGTTAGGCAGTTTTGCGATTTTTTCCTACATTGCAACCTCCTATATATATTATATATGCGCGCGCTTTCACTGGTAAGCGTGCGGCAGTAAAATTCCTTTTCATGCCTGCCCGCGAGGGCCATTCTCCAAGCCCAAAAAATTAGCATTCGTGCTATTTACAGCAAAATGCCACTGAGTCAAATATGTGCATCACTGTTTTAAGGGGGGAAGCTGGTCTAGAGCGCAAAAAAATGGACATATTTTATGAATTTATTTTGACTCAACAAAGGAATCAATCCAAAATCTGGGGAATTGGTTTAATAACATAGGTTTCATGGTACAAATACAAAATTTTTCGTGTGAATTAATTTCAAAATGGCCGCTGTCCAGCAATTCTCCGAAGATGCCTTTTTTCTTATAGGGCCATGGTCGAAGACGTTAACTCCTTAATTCTTTATCTGGTTCAAAAAAATTAATTTTTTTCTTCTATATAACAACTGCAATAAATGTGTGTGGAATTTTTTCGATATTTTGATTCCACAAAAAATTATAATTTTCACTCTAAACAACGATATAAAATTGTAGACTAGAAAAAAGTATGTAAGATAAAAAAATATGGGTGAAGATTTGTTCGAGTTATGTCTTCGGCGAGTTTAAAAAAAGTGATTTCGAGAAAAACGCGTTTAAAGTTGTAGGTCGCTCGGGGCGTACCGAATCGAATGAAAAATTTGGGCATTTAGACATTTTTACCGGCATCCATCTTTTGGTATGTTATTTCTAAGACCCTAAAGCACATTTAAAAAAAAAAAATGTTTTTTCGATTTTTTCAAAATTTCTACACCAGTTCCCCCCTTAAGGGAACGTCTTACGTTTGAAATGCTTCATTACTTTAAGTGTGCCCCTGGCTTCCACTTTTTTAAACAAATTTTGCTGCCGTGGGGCAGAGTATAAAAGAAGACCCGTCTATTTGGTCTATTTGGCATCGCGTGCAATAATTGGAGTTGTAACCAACCATTTTATGGAAGCGACAAGCGAACTTAACCGGCTATAACATATACATATAGCTGTGATAATTATGCAAGAAAGAGCTTCAATTTTAGTATTCCGCTCACAGATAATGGGTCAAATATTGATACCGAAAATCATCAAGACCGAATGTCTATAGTAAAGAGTTATCCAATGTCGTGGTTACAAAAGTACTGAGCTGTAGTTTGACATCTGTTAGAACAAATACGTGTTGTTTTAGTAAGAGTAGATCATTTATGAAAATGGATCGCTTAACAACCGTCCTGTACGCTAAAAATTGTTAAAACCCACTACAAGATCGTAAATCAAATGTAGCCACGTCGTAATCGGTAACATTTTAAAGATTTTTGAGAAATTTGGATCGGTTACAGATAGTTCAAGGCCTGTGCAACATCACTTTGTCCGTTCCGCCGCAAATATCGCTGCTTTAAGTGAAAATGTAGCCAAATACCCGAAAGAGTCTATTTCCCTGCGTTCCCAACAGCTGGAACTTTCTTGCCCGATTTTTCACTCAATTTTGCCTCATATTTTTTATCTATTTATAAAATTTTATAAAAAAAAATTCAAATATTTCAAACACCTGTTTGTTATAAAAAAATTTGTGGAAAAAGTTTTTAAAATCAGAAAAAACGTCAAGATGCTTTCCAAAAGTTTAGCAAAAAAATGTCTTTTAATTTTCAAACAAAAACAATTTACTGCTTATTTATATTTTTTATGTGTCTGCAGAGAGCAAAAACACAATACAATATACATGTATGTATTACGACCAATGGAAGTGTTTACTACGGATGAGCAATTAACTGTTAACAACCGTAAATTTACAGAGGAGAGATAAAGAACCAAACGTATATTTCAACGATCCGACGAAAGGTTTAACTGACGGCGAAATCGATGTGGCGCTGGAAGATTTATCCCTGTCAGATTTGAATATTTTAAACAAGCTGATCGATCAGTCTAACGCACCGGACTACGATTATGCTGACTATGAGAGGTAAATAATTATAAAACAGTCACATTTTCCTTTGCACTAATGTAACTGAATTTTTAGTCGAAACTATGCTTTGGGTCCGTCTCGCGAACACACCTTTGATGACAATCCCTTCTACGATAATACGAATATAAATTACTACGATGACATCGAAGAGCTTCCAAGAGATGCACGCAATCCGCTGCAGTACAAGATACCACGGAAGAGTCTAATGCCATTTGCGGAACAAACGGAGATACAGCGTACGAAACGCGATAATGGCAATGAAATAAAGCAGGTTAATCTGAAATTTTATGATGCTTATACATTTTATACTATTTTATATTATATCTTTATTTATATTTTTTTAATTTTATTTGTTTTGTTAATTTTTTTTTTTTTATTTTTAATCTTTTTTTTTATTTTTTTATCTTTTTTATTTTTTATCTATCGTTATTTTCGATATATTCTTATTTTTATCTTCTTTCTTTTTATCTTTTTTTATTTTTTAACTTTTTTATTTTTTATCTTTTTTATTTTTTATATTTTCTTATTTTTTATCTGTTCTTATTTTTTATTTTTTCTTATATTTTATTTATTTATTATGTTTTTTATTTGTATATTATTTACTTCTTTATTTTTATGTACTTTATTTTTTATCCCCTTTATACTTTTTTATACTTTTTTAACTATTTTATTATTTTTATTTTTTAATTTTTTTATCATTTTAAACCTTATTTATTTTGTTATCTTTTTCTACTTTTCTATCTTTTCTATCTTTTCGACTTTTTATTTTTTTATCGATTTTTTTTTTTGTTTTAATTATTTTTTATGTATTTTTCATATTTTTTATATTTTTTCGTTTTCTTATCTGTTTTTATCCTTTTTAATTTTTTCTAAGTTTTTTTTTTAATTTCATTTTTTGTTATTTCTCTTTTTTATTATTCTTTAAATTTTATTTTATTTTTTATTTTTTTTTTTAATTTTTTTAATTTTTTTTTTAATTTTTTTTATTTTTTTTTTTTGTTTTTAATTAACTATTTTTTATTTTTTTATTTTATTTTTTTTATTTTATTTTTTTTATTTTATTTTTTTTTGTTACTTTTTTATTTTTATTTTTATTTTTTTTAATTTTTTTTTATTTTTTTTCTATTTTTCCCTAGTTTTTATTATATTTTATATTATTTTTGCTTTTTACTTTATTTATTTATTTTTTTAGGCCGCAGTCGACGCGGAGTATATAAAGCAATTGGAAAACTCCTTTCCACGGGACCAAGAGCAGAACAATCACGAGGAGGGTGACGAAAAGAAGGAGCATATACGCGTGAAACGCAACTGAGCGTGCAACACATGTACCTACATATTTACATACACGTACATATTACATATCCGATATATCCTACCTCAACTTGATATAAAATTTGATGAATTTAATAAAATTTGTATTAACGCTTCCGTCACTTACCTCTGTAATCCCTCCAACATAAGGGGTGTCAGAAAAACATTCACCTGCCCTTTCAAACGTGCCACCACCGATGTGCAAGCAGCACCCTCGGCCTGTAAACTCATGAACTCCCCATCATCAAAACCATTTGTAGTCTTGTCGCTCTCCTCCTCCTTCAACAGCACACTAGGATCCCACGGATGCGACTTGGGACCACCCATAAATGTGGCTGAACTATTGCTACCCGTAGCATTTTCGTAACGTGGCACCACCTTAATCTCACGCCAACAGGAGTACAAATCGAAATGCGGCAACATTTTGCTGCCAATATATGTTAGCCCGCCGTCTTCGTTTTCATGAAAGAGCGGTGTAGAGAAAACATCTGGACCCGATGGAAATGAGCATGCAGTCCAATTAAAACATTTCACTTGTGACAAGTGATTTAGATAGCTTGCCATCAACAGGGGCGAGTCTATGATTGGGCGATTAACTTGCTGATGCAAATTGACAAGTGCCACATCTTCTTGCGAGGACATGGCCGAGATGAAGGAGTTAGATGAAAGTGATGGTGTGCCTGAAGATGAGCCACGTGAATCAACCTGTTGAATAGGAAGAAGAATAAAATTGTAATTTTTCCATGGCCTCTTGGGGTGCGTGCAAAAGGACTACTGTGTTGTGAGAGTTAACTTGCGACAAACTAATGGAAATGCGCTACTGAAGGAATAAGCAAAAAACGAGGAGCATTCTAAAGCAAATCTATAGCAGAAATAAATGCGTAATTTTAAAGAAGTAAGCGGCTATTTAATGCAAAGCGTACATTTTAAAAGCCAATCTATAGATTTTTGGGTATTAAACGCACAAGATTTTCGATGAATCCGATTCAATAGTTACAAGAAAGAAAGAAAAGAATAAATAGAATAGACTTATGTACATATTTATATGTAATACAATGAAACATGCTTAAGAGAGAGGTTCTCAGTTTGAGAGGTCGCTGCAATAAATACGACTGATTTTTCTCCACTTGTAGAGGTTTTTGGCGCTTCAAAGCCCTCATACTCAGTTTTCACTGTAGTAATGCAACTATGTAATTTATTTCTAATATAAATGCATGCAATTTAAATGGAAAATTATTTATTTACTAAAGGGCCTCGTATAAAAAAAACTTTAAAAAAATTTGAAAAAATTAAAATAAAAACAATTATTAAAAAAAGTTGCAATAAAAAAAGTTTTAAATAAAAAAATTTAAATAAAATTTAAAAAAAAATTTAAAAAAATCTTAAATAAAAAAAACGATTGCATATTTAAGCTAGAAAAGAACATCTTGATATATTAAGCCCATATATTCATCATGCGTTTTCGTATTGTATGTATAAATAGATCATAACATTCAAATTAAAAGCCAAGCAATACGCACACGCACATCCGGTAAGTATCGCATTGGAATTTTTATTTAAAAAAATATATATATATATATATCTAAAATGCCAACGCATGTAAATGAAATGCTACAAATTAAATTCAACAGACGTTTTCTCAACGTATTCATAACAATTAAATTTCTTTACAGTTCCAAATTGGAAATAGAGTCTTTTAAGGTAGAAATTAGTAGTAATAGTAAGTAGTAAGTAGTAGTAGGATAGTAGATGAAATTTGGCGCTAATTCTACTCACATCATGAATAAAATGTCGATACTCAGGTCTTGATGAAATATTTGATAGTTTTCTGATTGGTGTGGCAAGACCATGAATACGTCTCACGTCTTCGTTCTATGAAATTGATGAATTTTGAAAAGAATCGCATATGGAACAAATTTTTATAAATATAAGGGCAGTATATAGAAAAATTTAGGGATTTTTTGTTAAGGCTTCTTAATTATGACTTTCTTATACACAAATACATGCATAATACATACTCGACTCGTTTAAGTTATTATGATGTTAACAAAGTTATTACGGGTATAGTCAGTTGTTTTCAAGTATTTAGAGCACATTAAATAGGATATATAAAAATTGAGTACTTTAAGAAAAGTTGAACGTTTATCAAAAAAATATGTAAGCTATAAAGTAGGAAATTGATATTGTATTAAATTTTGAATTTTCTTTTTTTTTTTCTTTTTCTTTTTCGGTGTTTGCAACTGTTTTGTTAACTGTTTAATATGAAAATAATGTAATGGCTTGAAAGCTGCAATACTAAATCAAGTAAGAAAGTGGTGTAGGCATGTTTGAATATAGAATTTTGTAATGTATTCTTTCGTTTTGCAAAATGTGACCAATTCGAATCTTAGGCATACCAATTCAGTGGTGCTTTGCGGCCGCTTCGGTAGTGTTTTGCATTCCGGTGCATGAATTTCCAAATCACTACGGTAGGTAGAGAGTGTAAGACCAGCATTTTCATTTTGTGCGCCAATACTAAAAGAAACGCGAAAGTATTTTTATTTTTTTTTTTATTTTAAAGAGAACGCTTTTTATATACCTCAGATCAGATGAAAACCGCTTTTTGCCGGAAAATACTATGGAACCATTGCGATTCTTAACAGAACCACCTTGTGACATCATATTCGATATGTCCTCTTCCGCTGAGAAAAACATTTCAGATGGATTCTCCGACGTCAGCGATATTGTACGCTGCACTTCACGCGTCAAATGATCCGCACCACCATTGGAAAGCGGTGTTTCATTACACAATTGCGTCTGCAATGGCAAATCTGCAATTTCATATTCCAGCGGATGGGAATGTGGCGCCGAATGTGACATTTCATCTGGTATCTGTAAAACAATTGCAATTTTCAAATATTGGAATTAACAACTTTACTATTATCATCAATTCACCTCCAATTCATCCTCAACATCAGCCTCGCCGGTTAAGCGTGAATCGGATATGCTTGTTTTTGGCGGTGAAACACGAAGAGTATTGTTTTGAGATTGTGACTTTGCTGCATCGGAACCACGTCTGAATGCCACTTGGAGCGGTGATTCGTTCGAGTCTTGTCGTAGAACCTTTTTCGAGGGACTGTCTAAGAGTCTTGCATAAGGCACCTCCACGGATGTTTGCCTGTTAATCGAAATAACAGTAAATAAATTTTTTTAAATATGTATTAATAAACACCAATTCCTTACCTATTTGTTGTGTATGAGTAACGCTTATTACGACGCTCGAGTGTATTTGGCGAGCCTATGCTCTCGCGGGATTTACGTCCGTTGATGTCTGGTATTTCAATGGCATTACTGATTTTCAGCTTGCCACCAACTTCTTTGCTGCATAACTCTGATTTCTTGAGACTACCATTGCGCAATTCGACGCTAGGTCGATAATGTTTGCCTTTACCGTTAAAATCGTTACTATCATGCAATGAAACTGAATGCAAACTATATGGTGGTGTATGGAAGACCAATTGACCCTGATGTAGTATGCTCTCGCCGAAACCATAGTCTTTACCGTTGTTAATTATGCTGAAAAGTTCGTTTTTCGTTTATTATCCCAAATTGTAAAATTTTGATTGAACTTACAAATAACGCGCTATATTGTAGTTGTCTTGCACATCTTGTGTGGAGGGTTTGAAGAACTTCAAGCCATTACGATTGCTGCCGAAGAATGCACAACCACCAATACACCCGCAACGTGAGACTTCTGTGCCGGTGGAGGGCGGAGGTACCGAGGTGTTAGTATTTGTAGACCACAAGAACCACAAACGCTTATTCTTGGCATCGTGTTCGCGTAGAAAACTGAAATGTACATATGTATGTGTAATTAAAATAGACTTGGCATATTTTTCTTTCTTTATATATTCACATTCCACATTCAATTTACACTCGGTTTACTTACTTATGTTGTACGATATGTAATTTGTGATCCGGAATTGGCAATGCCGACGCGCCTTCCAGCAGAATAGGCCCTAAGGAGGTACAACCCACCTCAACCCAATTCTCAAAAAACTCAGTCTCATATGCGCGCTTACTTTCCGAGAAACTGTCACGCATTTTCCTATTGCTTTCTTCACGTGAATCGCGCCGCTGTGAAAATGAATTCGAGCTGCGCTTTGCCTTGCCGATATGTTGAGTTTGTGACTGTTGCTGTTGATATGATTCGGATTTAATTGAATCTTGTTCGGAACGACGCATTTTGCCCGAACGATTACTGCCTGTGGTATTAGTATTATAAGAATTTGTAAGATTTGAGTACGAACTACCATTATGCATAAAGAGACGCAAGAGTATTGAGGGTAGTAAACCAGAAATGCCAGACTTAACACGTTGTCCATGCAGATTGCAGTTGGCGAGACGAATGGGTGAGACCTGTAAAAATAGTTAAGTCAGTTTATAACTTCTAACACCATTTTATGTGCTTTTAGCAATATATGTCCTACCCATGCATGTAGAGCTGTGCCGCTCTCAATCAAATAAACATCGACTGCATCTATGGATACACGTGTCATTTTATATTTAATATCCTCAGCTGAAGGACATTTATATTTATTCTCCTCCTTGGTGTGCGGACACTGGTTGCTGGGTACGCCATGATGACAATTCCGTACTGTTTTCGGAGATTTCAAACAATTTTCCGGATCCACTGCCAATAGCACGAGGGTTTCTAAGCCAACAACAACATTGCAAAGCTGCGGCAATGTAAGCTTGCCCGACAATTTGCCCAATTGCACTTCAACTAACCAAGAATATTCCAAAGTGTCTTCATCAAGTGCACATCCTTCATTACTAAACATGGCATGACCACGTACCTGCAAAAAAAAAAAATAAGCATATATGTTTAATGTGAGTAGCAATGATAGCTTATACTTTTTATACTCAATTACCTGCACTGCTGAGAGTAATAAATGCCCTTGATTTATATGCTTATCTCTATTTGGGCGCACTACCAAATCTGAGGTGATCAAATACGAAGGACTAACGAGCACTTGCAGCGTAGTTTCGTGATAACGTTTATTCATTTCAAAGCCGAAGCGTTCAATCAGTACGACCGGACAGGGTGGATCATTATCATTGCAATTTTTCATTATATGCGCTTGTATATCGTGTATTATAAGTGAAACTATAACCTCCAATGGCCGATATAAACGTGGATCGAATGGTTTTTGTTTCTCCTCCGGCACAGTTACTTCTGATATGGACTTGTTTGCTATGTCTTTTTCTTTAGAAAGCAATTGATCTTTGGGATTAGCCGTTGTGCTGGTTGAAGTGCTCTCTTTCAAATTCACATTTGACTGTTCCATATCGGTAAAGTTTTGATCTTCGCCAAATATATTTTCTTTTAAGTTTATAAAATTACGCAAGACATTGCCATAACACATCAACACCGAGGAACCTATCTCCAACTCGACAGTAACTTGGTCCGCCGTTAAGGTGGCTGGATCGAATTTGTGTTGCTCTGGCTTTTGCCACGTGGATAGTGGGGACTTCCGTATTTTCGGTATACGCATGGGGCTAAGCAATATTTCCTCCTTTTCTGGTGTTGTAATATCAGCTTGTGGATCGGGACCCAACGGTGGCACGGGGTGGTAGACATACTGTATAGATAGCGCAACTATAGGCACGGTCCAACAATCTATCCAGCCCGCGCTGCAAATAATTAAATAAATACAAATAAATTTCATCTTAACAAATTATAAATTTCTATAATTAACTAACCTTCGCTGACATATTTTACGCCATTTTTTCGAATACAATTCTGGACGCGTCTTAACTCTGCCACCACGTGTCAAAAGTCGCGCATTTTCATCGATAGCCAACACGATTGGGCGCACAGAAGACACCTCCGGAACGTACAAGCTCAAGTCTAAGCCCTCTCCGTGTATCCAAAATTTTAATGTTACCGTTTTCGGTAGAAAATCATCGAACGGCAAGGCGAAACTCATGTCGAAAACATCACCGCAAAATGCCAAATGATTGTTTTCCTGATTTGCACTCGAACAATCAATCCAGTTGTATTCATTGCAGAGCATCAGTATCTCAAACTCGTTCAGTAGTATATTGAATTTACACGTGTATGGGACAAATGCAAGAATATCGGGTCGCGCTTTGCTGGCCCAATCCTCTATGAGATCCTGAAAGAAGCATTTATGCTTATAAACGATAAAAGCGGTCGCCTTGCAACCGGTTAACGAGATGCTCCAATCTTGTGGCGCATTCCACAGTGTGGGGTAGTGTATGCGCACTTTGTACTCGAGCGACTCCAATTCAGCTAGACTACGATACTGTAACGAAGTTGTCGCCTCAACATGAAACAATTGACCTTGTATTTTCGAAGTATAACCATCGGTATGTGTTACCCACGGTATGGTCAATTCCACATATGACGCTGGTCCGACGGTAATGTGCATGGCATTCGTCTCTTTATCCTTTGAGAAGAGTATATCGATTGTGGCTTCGCTAAGCACACAGAGTGTAACATCAAACGATTGATAACTGCGCAACTCACCGGGTTTGGGCGTAGGCGTAACCATCATTTCTTGCCAATCGGGTGGATAGAAGAATTTAAAGAGATGATCTCGTTGACGATCTGCCCAAGGGCCGTAACTAAAATCAGTGCCTTTTAAGCATTTGATATTGATACCCCAAACAGGTGGCGAAGGTTCAACTACATCACCATTAGCCAATATAATTGTCACTGGCTCTTCCGGCACCACACCTGGTTCGTCCATATAAAAGTACAATTCCATTTGGTTACACATCATTACCACGAAACCCTCACCCATATAACGTGGCGGCTCATCAACTAAACCCGTATACTTTGGACTAGGTGCGAACATAACTTTAGCATTTTCAATATTTGCTTTTACGAAATGCATGAAATGATCGAGCCGACAAACGGCTGGTTTGGTACTATATGTACAATGTGCCTCTTCCACTGAAATGGAAAGAGTTGTCGGTGTCAAGCGGTTGCCAAAGACGAAACGGCCTGAACAGATGTCCATCTTTATCACGGGAATTAAATCACGCCAAGTTGTGGCTTTCATGGCTTCGGAGTTCTTTACACTTTCACGTTTACTTTGACGTGCGTTCTCCATATTCATGGTGTGCTCTTTTAGTTTGGAACGCTCTTCAGCCGATAAATTATCAGTCTATAGTATAGGAGCAGACGATATGATATGTATAATATATTAGAATCAAAAATGAAAGCATTTGTTATAAAATATTTCCAATAAAAGTAATAAAATTAATAACGAAACTAGTTAACGCATTACCGGTATAAGCAAAGAAGGTTTCAATCCAAATGTTTTCTCCAGTTGATCATACAAATCGGAGCGATTGTATATATGCAGCTCAAAGCCATTTAATTGCACAGAGAGTCTTGTATCCGAGTGTGAGAGATCTGAAATCGACAAAGAGAATACAAAAGTAATTTGCTTATAAATGGTTTATATTAAATAAACAATCTGCTTACCTTCAGAAACATCTTTTGGCACGTAAGATCGCCACCAACGGAATATAAAGTAACCATCTTGCACACGCACCGAATAATCAAATGTTATATAGACGAAATCTCGAAACATGATTTTTCCTGCCAACGGATTTAATGCCACAGAACCTAAATAAAGCAATAGCATTGAATGCAGTTATACAGTCTTTATTATGTGTACAACTAAAAACATTTTACCAATTTTAAAATATGCGCCTTTTATAAACCACCGATTAACAATTTTCGTTATAAAAACCCCAACTAGACGAGAGTTGTAAAATGTTATATAGGTTACCCATGTTATAGACGTCAGTAGAGAGCATAGGAGCCATATCTGAAAGGAAATATGCAAAATCATTATAAGTTTATTATGTATATCACGTGTGTTTAATTAAAGTGATTTGAAATTTTGAGAATATGGATGGTTCAACAGAAATATAATTTAAAAATAAATAAAAGATAAAATTCTGAAGGATAAAAGCAAGAAAAAAACTTTCATGTGTTAAATGAATATTTTTTGTGTCTTTCATAGGCCAAAACATGTATCGGCTCCTAGAGAGAGGCATTATTGAGCGCAGAAAAGCCACTGTGGGTTGGGAGCTCAAGAATTTACCCGTTGTTAGATATGCCTGCTGTAAGAGGCGACTCAAATCCAAGAGTTCCCGCGACAGTCGGATCTTGTTGTTGTTGTTGTAGCGGTTCACTAGCCCCGCTTAGGCACAGGTTTGATCAGTCTAAGTCGCCGAGGTCATCTAATGGTAGGTCCAGGAAACGAGCTGTTTCGACGGGGTTGGACCAAAGGGAGAGGGGGGGTTAGATGAGTTGGTTTGAGAGGGCATGTGAAGAGGTGGTTAGTGTCGTGCAGAGACTCTCCACATGCAGGGCATACGTTGGGTATGCTGGCTTCTAGTCTGGATAAGAAGGAGTTTAACCTGCTACAGTATCCAGACCTGAGTTGTGTCAGGGATCTTCATACGTTACAACAACAGCGCCCAGAAAAGATATTAAAAAAAAAACCTGTTATTGATGCCAGATTAAACATCTCTGAACGTACTGACTAGTTCTTCGAGTTTTTCACATCGATTTTGGCAACGAGCGTGAATGGGTCGTGCTCATAAGGTTGCAAATAATGAAGCTGTGTCTAAAGTAAAAAGTCCATGGCAAATGACGATGAAGCGATGGTTTGTGAAAGCACAGCAAGGGGCAGTAATGGTTTTCTCCTTGGCGATGGTGGTTCAAGAGGGGACCTAAAATGCAATAGTTCCCGCGACATTCGGGTCTTTATACCGGAAGGAACCGGATTTTTTGTCCGGCCGAGAACTTTGTGAAATTTTTTCGATGGCAAACATTAACAACAACGGTATCCCAATTCGAGTTGCAGACGTCACAGTTAAGATTGTTGAAAAAACAGAAGCGAAACTAAAGTTTTTGAATATCCGCCATTTCTAAAGAGGAATTTTTCATGGTGGTTGACTCGCCTGCTAACGGACAAATGAATAGAAAATGCTTACAGGTTTTGACTTATATAGACAGGTAAAAGACTTGCGCATTAAAGAGATTGACCTAATTGGGAAAACTCTATTTAAAATTACCTTTAAAACAGATTTCAGAACCTATACTCCTAAAACCGTTATAGAGATTTATGTGGTTATAAGAGGTATAACAGTTATTCCTTGGTGGACCATTTCGAAAATTCGAATCAAATCAGCTAAACGATTTACCAGAAAGGATAATACGTATGTAACGGATGTACAACTACAACTGCTGTCAAAATAAGGTTTGAGGGTAACGAAATTCCTCAATACTTTGTCTGTAACTATGCGAACTTATAAGTCCTTTTTTAAGTTCCCCCTTAAGGCAATGCAGTCACTGCGGCCGACTACGACATGCCTGCTGTGGCAGGACATGCATCAGCAAAATAAGTTAAGCACGATGGGTTTAGACGATGAGAACAGATCTAACTTATGTTATAGACGAGGACAACACAGAAATTTTATTAAAAAGACATAAAGTCAGACACCCAAAAAAAAAAGTTAAAATAAAGAGTTATTCAATGTCATACAGAGCCTTAAAGCGCAATTTAAAACTGTTGTTGCTTCAGTATAAATGCTAATTCTTACCTGTAAATATTGCTTTTTCAGAATATTATATATATAAATATGAGCTTTTTCCAATAAATATCAACCTTATTAGCTTGACGAAGCCTAAGTACAGCCAGATCCTTCTCTACTTCTCTTTCCAACAGAGGAGGTCTTCCTCCACCTCTACTTCCACCTGCGGGTACTGCATCCAAAACTTTCATACCTGGAGTATTCTTATCCATCAGGACTACATGGCCTAGAAAACGAGACCACGGTCTCTTGATTCAACGCATATCTCGTACAGCTCTTGTACAGCGTTTTATCGGCTGCAGCAGCTGACGTTCAGAACTTGTAGAGGACCATAAACTTACAAAAAACCTTTATCTCGAAAACTCCTAACGCCGACTCATCAGAAATTGTCATTGTCCATGCCAAAGACGAGGTTATCTACGACTTTAAAGTCTTGCCTTTCAACAGTAACGTGGATTCGCGACTGTTTGCTTTATTACAGAAGATATTTCATTTTGCGCTCGTTCACTCCCTTATGCAGTTTGGAGAAAGCAGAACCCGAAGCGCGGTTGTTGAGATGTACACTCTTGTAAAAGATTGTATCTTCTCTATCCAGTTCTGCAGCTCGGTTTGCTGTAGCGACTGCTCTACGCTTAGAGACAGGCTAGTTAGTCCAAGTCATCCAAGTCATCTAACGGGAGGTACATGAAACGAGCTATTTGGACGGGTTCGAACCATAGGAAGAGGAGCGTTAGATGTTTTGGCTTTAGGGGACTGCTAAAGAGGGACTTATTACATGCTGGATATACGTTAAATATGTCAGGACTCTCGAGGCGACTCGAGCTCTTCATCCGCTATGGGTAGTGATTTGACTCAGTAACATTGGGTCTGCTATAGTCGGAATTTCGACCCCATCGACTTTCACATCGAATTTGAGTCTGCACTCTTTCGTCAATGTGGTAAAGAGGGTATCCGTTTTGGTTATAATTCTCTTGCAGTGAAGCCAATACTCACGGCAGCCAGTCCCGTACGCACCGGAATAGACCCCCAAGGGCTGCCACCCTTTCGGCGATCTAACCCAGTTTAGGTCAAACGGTAACAATTTGGCAAGTGTTACTGTTAGATTAACTACAAGGTCACTGCAGTGTCAGAAGCTCACAAATGACCAATCCAACTTCAATATATTTATTAGAATTTTTTAGAATTTTTCAGATGAAATGATGCGTCCAAAACTCTACCTTCCACTACCATGACTAATCAATCCGTACCACAACATCCATTAATAAAACTTTTGAAAACAACGCTCTAAAGACAACGGAACCCCGAACTTCAATCTACATCACCAAGCTATCATCAACAATTAATTAGAACGCAATCACTAATCAACGCAAACAATTACCATTTGTTAAAAAAAAAATTATTGTAAAATAAGAAAATGCCTCTGCAAAGAAACTAGATCTCAAAAATTAAAATAAAAATAAAATAAAAAATAAAAATATAACTAATAATACCTTCCGTACTCCCTAATTTTCATTCAAAACACATGTTGCTCGTTGCCGGCTTAACCACCCACTCCCAGCATGAGTATTCATATCATTAAAATCTATTTGACAACTTGTTGTTGTATGAGGTCAGTTACCCTAAGCGTCATCATAAACAAAGTCTTGTTTATTTACATAGCCAACAACAAAATGTAAACAAATAATCGAGTCCAAAACAAAACAAAGCTTTTGCGCATGAATTCTAAATGCCAAAATCATCTGAGTACTAACAGCTGTTGGTTCAAGTGCGTTTATTTGTTATTATGGCTGTGCTAATGAAACATAGCTCGATTGGGGGACTAAATCCCCATTTAGAGACATACACACAAATGCCAACACACATATAAATATGTTTATATTCAACAGAAGGAATGTAACGAGATTCAATAAATGATACAAAAAAATTTTTATTTTTTTTTTGGAATTTGTAACTTATGATGGAAATTTTTGGAAGAATGAACGCCAAAGCTGATAAATTTCTTTCTTACCTTGCCGACTGGGATTTCAAGTAATCGAAATATATGACTGTAGAGGTGTTTATATTCAATACCCGTTACACTCTACTTCATTTTTGAATGAACTGGATTTTATCAGACCGGAGACTTTCACGCCCGCAATTTACCTTCTAACCCGCACTACATTACTACAAATTTCCTTTTTATAATCTGATTATTTTGTTTTAGGGCGAAGAATGATGTTAAAAGTTATAGATGCTTCGGAGATTACCACATTTCCTCGTCCGACATCTTATAGAAAGGATCGCAACAAGGGATCCAGAGATAGCAGGCGACTAGTCTAACTACTGACCCAAAATCAACCGTGTAATCTGTTATAATATTGAATCTAGCATTAAACAAGGTAAAGGTATGATAATTTAGACTTTTTTACTTAATTGTGTAGTTGTTAGTTTTTAGCAAAAAATTTTACTTCAATTCATTGATAATCATTCAAACAACATACATATATGCTTATATATGTCTAAGAAGAGGAGTATTCAAATGTTAATATAGTGCATATGTATATAAGTTTTTACAGCATAGACATAAGTAAGTATATATATGCAGATTTGCGTAAGGCAATAACCTCATACTTAGCAAAAGTGATAAGCAAAATCCGAAGCAACTAATCGAAAAACTTGTCATTTGTGAATGTGTAGGAACGTAAGCTTCTTTTGGATAATGCATAATGCGTCTATTCCCGAAAATATTAACTTGATAAACTTACTAACGCCCCATAAAAAGTGAAGGTCATAAGTATTTAAAGCTTACAAAAAATCATAATTAAGTAGAATTTAATTGAGATAATGAATCACGTATTTATATATGTACTATATGTACATATGTATATGCACCTGCATGGTAGTGATTCAGAATTAGATTATAATAAATACATACATATGTATATATGCGTATTTAAGTGGCAATATTAGTTTCGAGTTATACCTATTAAGAATTTAGTTCCTTACCATTGGCGCATCGATTTTCATATTTTCCAGCGGTATGTGGCTGGTATTGTTCCAGGTACCCGCTTCAGGGAAACCGAAATTGTTATCAGTCTCTTCGATGACCATTTCCATTTTGAAAATGTTTTAATTTTGATACTTAAAACTAACAAATTAATCAGTCGCAAATGATTTTACAAAAAGAAATACAACAATAGATAAGAAATATCACATTTCAACCGCGTATAATTCATTGAGCACGAACTATTTTTCACAACTAATTTTTTAATAAACTTTACGCATACGATCATTTTATTAAAATATAATTTGCATTTCATTTATTGAGCATATCATTTTTTATACATCATAATTTTCCACGCCCTTATTAGCAAATGCAAATGGACTTCGATTTTTCCCACTTTTGGCATTGGGCTGTGCCCAACTGCCTTTGCCGTTGTTCAACTTTAGAGTTTCAACGCTGATAATTCATTTAATTCTTCAAACACGCATTCGCACTTATTAGACTTTCGTAGTATCTGTTTTCTTTGTCGTTTTTCATTAATTTTTGTTAAAAATAAATTAGTATTTATTCGAAAATTAATTAAAATTATATTAGAAAATTTTCCATAACTATTACAGTAGAAGACATCTCGCGAAAACTATTGACATTTGTTGTCATTTGGCTGTCAGTGGTGTCAAAAAAATTGCATAGATGTGTTTCATGTGCAATTCCATCGGTGCCTCTGCCCGGGGGGATCACATTAAGAAATCATAATTCTTGTTTAAATTATCCGATGAGAGATAAAAATAATTATCGTTACGTGATATTTGTAATATTTCCGATTTTCATTCATTAGGGCCCAGTGACCATTTTGCTAGTCAATTATTGTTTCATTAAAGACTTAAGCCCTGTTACAATAAGTAATAATTGAACTTCGTTTCAAGTTTCTTGTTCAATTTTATAGAAGTCACAAAAATATATTAATCAATGTATTTCTCAGACATTAAGTCCATTTGACTCGTAACACGTTGAAAAGTTTTATCTGCCACCGTCCTTAACGATTTTACGGCATTTGATTTCACTCGCGTTTGAATTCTGAAGTTTCAAGAACCTTATCGTGGCTCTGAAAGCCCCTTCAAGGAATTAGCTGTGTTGCCAAATCAATGTATAGAAAACAGAATATGCATTTTCATTAAAGAAAGCAATTGAATAAATGTCCAATCAGAAAAGAAAATGTATATAATGTATAGCGATATGATCAGAATGATCAGCTGAGTTGATCCAACCTCTTCTATCAATTTGAGCTAGGTCTGCTTAGTCCAGTTTTTGAGATATTTGAACAAGATTTGTATCCAGACGTCAAAAAATTTCGTAATTTAATATTGTTTAAATTGGACGACTATATTGTATAGCCTTAGTAACAGTTCCATGTCCACACACATGTCATGCTATCTCGTCCTCATCGTACGTTCCAAGAACCGAAGTAACTCTTGGGCGAGATGCGGAACCAATAACCACTTCAACAAAATCGCGTGAAGCGCTCACGGAAGTTTTATTGCAGCGTCTTTTTCCAAACAAGCGGCTCACTATATACATTCACTAACTCATTAAAGGATTATGATTTGTGTCTTAAGCGGGGACTTTAAATGTGCGATCCCTTAAATGTAATTGTGGTTCCGCCTTGAGAGATACGACGATGTGGGCAAAGATACTTACTAAGATCACCTTGAATGCACTTATGAGTCCATCTCCCACCACGATGTCACAGCCGAGCAAAAAGATTTCAAATACATAGAACGTATCATCGGCACAACAGCCAGAAAGTTAAACCTCCTTAATGAAAATATCACCGTCTCTGGCATAAAAGAATTCACCAACGACTGTCTCGGCATCCGAAAACTTGTAACCAAATCGGCCATGTTGAGATATTTTTGTGTTCTGGTCAGTTTGGAAACAAACTATTTATGTTTCTCTTTCGAATTATTGTAAGAAATTTTGAAAGTTTTTTGAATGTGTTTATATGCAAAGCCCATGTTTATGAATATATATTATTATAAATAAATTTTTAACCGAGATTAAGATCAGAGGTAGCATTGTAACTAGTTTTCAATGTGTAGTCGGAATTGTATACATTTCTTAAGGAATATGCTTAGCGAATTGGGTAAATTTTTCACAAGTGTGAATGCAACTTTGCAATGACGCCATTTATTCAGCATTTTCTTGTAGTTTTTCTTGCAGCTGTCAAATTTGACAATGCTCAAATACGCACACAAACACATTTCTATTCCAACGCACGAAATAAGCGGTAAAATTTAGAAGCGATAGTGCAAAATTTTAAATTTCCGCGTGCTATATCAAACAAAGGCTGAAAAATATAAGTAAAACGTAAAGCTTAACTTTTTGTTATCTTTTTCATAGGTATTTCACCACATATTTTGCTTTTTAGGAGTTTAATTAGCGACACTTAAAAATCTAGTTGGTTTTCGACATAGCCGAGAAGAAAGTCGTGCGACTGTTCGTGTGTAGAAGAAAATAGAATAAAAGCAAATAGCGAAGGAGTCTCATTTGTGTCTGTTGGATTGCAAATATAAATACTCGCTAACATAATGTCTGGAATTGCAATCACCCGTTTAGGTGAGGAACGTAAAGCTTGGCGCAAAGACCATCCCTTCGGTTTTGTTGCACGTCCAGCTAAAAACCCAGATGGCACATTAAATCTTATGATTTGGGAATGCGCTATTCCCGGCAAGAAGGGCACCGCTTGGGAAGGTGGTCTGTACAAGCTACGTATGATTTTCAAAGATGATTATCCAACATCACCTCCAAAGTGTAAATTCGAACCTCCACTATTCCATCCCAACGTGTATCCGTCTGGTACGGTGTGTTTGTCACTGTTGGATGAGGAGAAAGATTGGCGCCCGGCAATTACCATCAAACAAATATTGCTTGGTATTCAAGATTTGCTTAATGAACCGAATATTAAGGATCCAGCACAAGCAGAGGCATACACAATCTATTGTCAAAATCGTTTGGAATATGAGAAGCGTGTGCGTGCACAGGCACGTGCAATGGCAGCCACTGAATAAGAGGACGAATTGAATGCATTTCGCACATACACACAAATACATATATTAATAGTTAGAAGACGAGAAATACGGGGTGAAACGAGTAAGTGTAGTCTGAAAGTCGAATGGATCATTAAGGGGCGTTCGGGCTTATACTGCGCTTGGACGTAAACAGTGATTTAAAAGCATTTTCCGAAATGCTCTTAATACTAGTGTTCCCTCATAATTAAAGGGGACAAAGTAATTATTTAAATTATTACTGTATTTGTCTATATATACATATATGATCCTAGTTTTAAATAAAACAAATCAGATGTATTTACATATGAATTACAAAAAAAAAAAAACATAAATAATAAACTTGTGTGGTTGCAAAACTCTGGAAGGATCGCACCTCAACATAACTAACGTTTTATTTTTTAGTTTATTGCGCTCAGCATTACTTATATACTTAAATTATACCTACAATATTTCTAATTCATTCATAAATGCCACTTCAAGAAACAAGTTTAATTTTTTTTATATACAAATAAATAAAGCTATAATATGATTTAAAATAAAAATGTTTATTTTTATTTCTTCACATAATGTGGTAAAGACTGCGACATTCACATAGATATACAATAGAAAATGATTTAATGAAAAGATATTTGTTACTGGTAATTTCAAAATTTCAGAAATTCCGAAAAAATATATAGAAAAATATTGCAATGAATTTTTCTCACAGAACCGATGTTCCTACTTTAATTAAATACTTGGTGAGTTTTTAGCGTTTTCCTAACCTCAATTTCTCGTGCATATAACCTAAAACATTGTAACTTCGTAAAAGTGAATAAAAATTCAATACGCAGTTTCCCCATTTACATTTCCACCGAGTACCTACATATATAAAATAGAATCTTCTAGCTGTTCTGGAATTCTGTGTATATACGTTTGTATATACTGCATTATTTATAATATTTGTCATAGGCTAACAATAGAAGCTCACGTCAGTTCAACGCCAATAATGTTTTTATTGGCATTGTTAATGTATTGCTCTTCATGTATTGTTGGATTAGTCACCCAGCAGTATTCACTTAGCAACACGATTTCAAGGTTATGTAGAAATAATTTTCAAGCCCGAACGCATGTCGGCAAAAAAGTACATTAAAATACTTTTGAAAGTAAGAATTCGGAATTGATTGATTGTTGTTTTTGTTGCTGAATATCCGCCAGCCCCGTTTAGGACTAGACAAGGTCAGTCTACTTCATTGAGAAAGTCTCGAAAACGAGCTGTTTCGACGGGCTCGGACCAGAAGGAAAGAGGGGTTAGAAGAGTTAGTTTTCGGGGGCTTACAAAAAGGTTGTAAGTGTTGTGCGAGGACTCATTGCATGCAGGATATACACCAATAACACCTTCAGAAACTTGTGAAATTGTGTGGCACAGTAAATTGTCCTTCAATGTGAACGTTCCTTAGCTTAGGCTGGTTGTTACGTCTCACATAGACTTACTAGTCTTTTATAGTACCAGTCTGTCTATGGTTTGTATGGTATCAGGTTGACTTTGTTGTTGTTGTAACCGCAAAAATATTCTTCAAATTAGATTTTGGGTCGGGTCGTTCCGGTATAATAACACGACTGTCGACATTTGATTTAAGTCGCCTCTTAAGATAGGCATGCCTTACCGCGGGTAAATTCCTGAACCCTTAACCCGCAGCCATTGCACACAATTTCAACAGCCTTGCATGTCGTTAAGGGATTCCATCTCACCTTTAATAACTATCAGAAGTTTTTATGAACCAAACAGAGTCGTTCAGTGTCAACAGAGAGGTGAACCTCCTTCCTGAAATTTCGGTATCGGCAGCAACTTGTAGTTGACAGCAGTAACTATAACGTTCTAGACTGCACTCATCGCATCTTGTCTCTCTTGTTGTTCTAACTGTAATTCGCGCTTTCTAAACGCTGAAGCGATTTTCGGCCGAGCTCCTCTAATTTGTTGGCTTGCATTTTAATATTTTTCCAACAAATGGAGGGATCTACAGTATATACTAAGCCGCCTCCGAAAAGCTGGAGGGTTTTATGTCTTTACGCCTTTGCTTTGTGGGGAAGATGCAAACAAGAAGACAACAATATCGGTAACTTTCACAACAGCTAGTTCTAAACCCATAAGATAATCCTATAATAAGGTCCTATCGAGCATATTTTGTGACAGACTAAAGATCACATTGTCGGTTTGGACCTGGTACAACCACGCTTGATATTCATCTTCGACCCCATTGGAAGGCGTCCGTGAAAAGAGAATCGACACATACCATCTTTTCGTCGTTTTAAAAGCAACCCTCGACAACACGAAAGGAAGCTGCCTCTTCGCCGCTTTGTCTGAATTTAGTATTCTCGCAAAACTTATACGACTGTGTAAGCTGACGTCAAGCAAAACCAAAAGCTTCGGCAGTATCGTGGAGGACCTCTCCGAGCCGTTGGATACTAAATGCGGTTTCAGAAAACGTGATTCCTTATCGTGCGACTTCTTTAGTTCAAACTTTGAATAATAAAATAAGCTGCTGAGCAAAATAAAGAAGGTGTTACCTTCGCTGAGACTTCTGCTTTAGTCCGGCTTGATAAGAAGCGAAGTGTAGGGACGAGTTCAAAACGGAGATATTTCGACTCGGCTCTCACGTCACTATTGAGAGACATATCTATTATACAATGCCAACCTTGAAAACCAACGCATAATCAGTCTTGTTCACAGTTGCTAATTTGGACTCAGTACACAATTAAAAAGTGGAGTTCTCTCTCGACGAACGAAGACCAAACACTGTAAGTTGCTTATTATTCTCGTTGTTGTTGCTGTTGTTGTTGTTATTGTTGTTGTTGTTGTAACTGGTTGTTGGCTAATATAGTGGGAATGACAGTCGGCGGGCGGATCAAAATCCGTGTCGTTCCGGTACGAAACCCTGACTGTCGCGGGAACGACAGCCATGGTTACCACGGATTAATTATCCCGTGCCTAGCCCGTCCTGCTATATGGTACGGCGTTAGGAGTTTTTGAGAAAAAAGTTTTGCGTAAGATTTGTGGTCCTTCACGCGAGAGAGCTGTACGACATTTACGGCGACATTGACAGAATTCAGGGAATGAAGAAATAGCGGCTTCGTTCATGTGATCCGAATGAATGAGAATAGCTAGAGAGCTGTGAAAGTTTTCGATGCTGTACCCGCCTGTGGAAACAGAGTAAGGAAAGAAGGTGGGGAAGAATCTGCTTTTACACTTGGTTTTGGACCCAAACAACGAAAGGAGGAAATGAACTGTGCTATAATCGTCTACGCCAGTAAAGAAGAGTTGTTGTGTCCGAAAAACCTTTGTTGTCGTTTTGTTGGGTAAAGAAATTTCGATTTCATTTGAATTTTGTTTATTTCAACATTTGAAAATGAAAATCAAAGTTTGTATTTATTTATATTTATTTATATATTTTATTATTATTACTTAATAATGGTATGTCTATACATACACGTATGTCTGTATGTATGTATGTGTATGTATTAATTTAAATATTATTTCTCATTACATACCTACATACACGTATTGAGATAAATGACAAATAATAATAATGTAAATAAATATTTATTCATTATTAGGGTGTGATATCTACTTAATTATATTATATAATATACATTTATGCATCTATGTATGCAGGCTTATATAGTATGTATGTATGTATGTATTTGAAATAAATTATTATTGTCTCATACCTAAGTATATTTATTTGCTTATATTTAAATGTCTATTGCACCCGCTTACAAACATATGTATGTATGTGCTTACATGACTACATATACATATGTACCTCGTATGCATGCATATACACATCAAATGTGTTTTTTTCGAAGTTAAAGGGGCTCTGTAAGGGCCTATTATTTCATATTTTTTTAAATAATTTTTAAAGTTATTACCATCTTTGTTTACGATATTTAAATAATTTTTGAATTTTTTTTAAACCTTGAAAATATACTCGTATATATGAATTATATATATACAACAAGTGAAATTTCAATCAAGCGAGATTATAAGGTATTTTTTTTTTGGAAAAAATTTATAATTTTTTGGTTTAAACGAAATTTAAAATTATATAAAACAAAAAAAAAATTTCCTGCATTCTACAGTGACCGCAATGTTTGCACGCGCGTACTTATTTTGTAAATATTATGACATTTATTGCAATTATAGTTTAAAAGATTCGAATTAATTGCAATTTTTTTCATTTAATATACTATATTTACATATAAACAACTAAGCATTAATATTATATATGTATGTATATATATTGGTTTTCGCATAACTTTTCTAATATTAATAATTAACTTTGGCATACACATTAAATCATGAAGGATTATCGTTATAAGTTATTTGTGACAATATTTTACATAATTTTCAAATTGCAAGAAAAAATTGCGTTCTTCTTAAACTTTAAAATGCAATTATGCATATTTTTTTAATTTTCGAAAAAAAATTTGTTTTTTGCTTTTTTTTCCAAAGTTACTTTTCAACTACAGAGATTCCAGCCGAATACTGCACGTTTTAGCTATTTTTCTACACAAAATTTTCACGAAAAACCTTAAATGCATTATACTTATACCTAAAAATTATCACTTCTTCTTTCCACCCCCTCCCATTTTTGTTTCGTGTTTGCTTTAAAAGCACTTATAGTACCATTCCCACTGCTTACGCGCTTGCCACATTTCGTTCTATCAAATGGCTGCTTCCTGTTGCAAATTCTCTTTGTTTTTTTGCATCAACATCAGAGAATTCGGCGATGCCAACGCCATCGGCATGAGACCAGCATTTGGACTGGGACTGTCACTCGCTTCGGGTCGTAGCAGTTTGTTCTTACAATAGTATTGTTTGTGTGCCACATAGGTTTTCATGTAGTTGAAGGAGATGTCACAAGTTTGACAGTATTTCAAATTTACCGCTGCAGCGGTGGCATTCTCATCGGTTGCCGCGTTGAGTGGTGGTGGTGGTCCAATCGCTGGTGAATTAAGCGGTGGTGGTGGCAGTAGTGTGGTGGCAGCTGGTAGCGTATCGCCAGCAATGTCCAATGGTTCCGTTTTAATGTGTGGCATTGCTTCGGTGCCGAGGCTGTTCAATGGCGGTGGGGCTGTTAAGGTGGATGCCAATATTGTTGTATTGTTATTGTCTAGCAATTGTGTTGGATTGGCGTTGGTTGCTGAATCGAGTGGTTCGCTTTTTATGCTGAAAGTGCTGGAAGGGATTGAGTTTAGTTTAAAAAATTTATATTTTTTCGTCAGAAATAATTAAAAGGTTTTAAAAATCATTCACATATTGGTTTAATTAACATAATTTTTTCTGTTTCATTTTTATTTATTTTTCCTTTATTTTTTATATTATCTTATTTTATTTTACTTTTTAATATTGTGATTTTTAATAATTTATTTCTTTTATTTTTCATGATTATTTGTAATTTTTTCTATTTTTTTGTGGCTTTCTTTATTCATATATTTTCTATTTATTTTGTTTTATTTTATATTTCCTCGCTTTGTTATATTTTTCACTTTTTACTTTACATATTTCTTATAATTTGTTTATTTTTATTTTATTTTTTATTTATATTCGTCTATTTCAGTTGTATTTTTCTCAATCTAAGATATTCACTATCAATTTTTTATCATCTATTATATAACATTATTTCCTTCTACTTTATATATTTTTTTTTAATTTGTTTTAATTATTTCTTCCCATTTAATATAATCTATATTTATGTCTTATTCTAACCTATTCAAATTTTAGTTTTATTTTTTATCTCTATTTTATATTTTATTTAATTAAACTTCTTGTTTAATTTTCTTTCAATTACTTTTTTATAAATTTATTTTATTCTTTAATATAATTTTGTAAGTGATTTTTATACTTCATATAATTTTTTATTTTTATAATTTTATTTTCCTTTGATTTTTTATTTAATTTATTTTTGATGTTTTTCATTTATTTTAATTTTATTTATATTAAATATATTTAATTTATTTTTTTTTTCATTTGTTTTTTTTTTTTGTTATTTTATTTATTTTTTTTTTCCAAATATTTACTTATTATAGTTTATTTAAATTTTAATATCATTTTTTTTTTTTTTTTTTTTTTTTTTTTNATTTTTTTTTTTTTTTATTTATTTATTTTTTCTTTAATTTTATGTGTTTTATTTTAAATTATTTCGGTTTTTAGTGTCTTTTTAAATTTTTTTTAACTTTATTATTATTTTTTGTCTAACTTTGTTTCATTTATTTCATCTTTTTCTTATTTAAATTTTTATTATTATTTTTTTTTTAACGAACTTATCTTTAATTTTATTTTTTAAATTTTTTTTCTTTCGAATTTTCATATAATTTTTTTTTTAAATATCATTTACTTTATTTTTTCTCGATTTTCATTAATTTTCTTTTTTAATTAATTAATTAATTTCTTTCATGTTATTTTAATTTGTTCCATTTTCTTATATATTTCTTGTTATTTATTTTATTTTATTTGTTGGATATAGTTATTGTTCCTTCCTTCTTTATTTCAGTTATTTGTTTTTAATTTATTTTATTGTATTCTATTTATTATATATTATTACTTTTTTATTTTTGGATTTTTCATCTCTAATTTAACATTTGTATTTCATTTTATGTTGTTATTATTTTATTTTCGTTATAAATTTTCATTTTATTTTGTGACTATTTTATTTCTTTTTAATTATTGTTTCTTAGTTTTAATTATATTGATTATTTAAATTTTATTTTTCATTTTTATATTCATTATATTATTTTTTTATTTATATTATAAAAATTTTATTTTCTTAATTTCCTTTTATTTTGGTTTTTATATTTTACTAACTTATTATTTGTTTATTTATTTTTGATTAATTCTCTTAATTTTTATTTTTGCTGCCTTAATTTCTTCATTTATTTATTTTTATACCATTTTTTATTATTAATTTATTTTATTTCTTATTTGCATATTCTCTTTTCATTTTCTTATTTCCGTTAGTGTTGTCCGTTTTGTTTTCTATTGTGTCATTCTTTTAGTTATTTAATTTTCTACTTTATTTTTTTTCTTTATTTATATTTTATTTCGTTTTATTTAATTTTTTGTGATTTCTTTTTTCTATTGTGTTTTATTCTATTTAAATTTTTTTATTTCATATCATATTTCATTTTAATTCAATTATATTTTATTCTATTTTTTATATTTTTATTTCTTTTATTATAAAGTAGACTTTTATTTTCAAGTTATTTTTATTTTTTATTTAGTTTTGCTTTATTTATTTAATTTAGGTAATTTTATTTTATTTTTCTCATTCAATTAATTAATTTAAATTTAATAACATTTTTACCTTATCTGTTTTGTTCATTTTGTTATTAGATTTTAGTTTAGAAAAAAAATCACGAGCTTCTTTGAAAACTTTTTAGTCGCTTTTAGCCTCATTTAGAAAAAGAATAAAGACAAATTAGCGATTGCTTACCCACTCTCGCCATTTAAACCAGCCAAATCAGCGTTGTCCAGGTCGTTAGCTTCAGGTGAAATTGATGGTGAGTTAATGTTGATATGAGGATGAACCAGTTTCATATGACGGAGCTGGAAGAAAGGAGGTATTTAACTGTTTTTCTGTGCTCCTCAACTCCAAACTACTCAAACATACCACATTGCCCTTGTAGGAGGATGAGTAATTGCATAAATCACAATTAAATATTTGTTGTTGCTGCTGCTGTTGTTGTTGTCGCTGTTGTGCCTGCAATTGCAGTTGCTGATGTTGTACAGCGGCTATTTGTTGAGCCAATTGCTCTTGATTCAACGTTGAAGCAATGCTTGGAATTTCCAAACCCTCATCCTCGAGAATGCAAGACATGTAGTGCTCCTCATTGAGGTCGGTGGCCTTCTTATCGAAATGCATGCGAATGTGTGTGCGCATTCCACTAAAGTAAAAGAAGAAAAATATAAAATTTTTTTTTTGTTTATTAAATTTTAGTCTCTATTAATAATATTTACCGTAAAGTGTTGCCCTTGTAGCGGCAGATACTGCAACGGAATGCTTTCACTGTGCCATGAGTTTCCATATGTTTTCGGCTCTCAGTTGCGCTCAGACTCACTACATCACAAACGGGACATTTATAGACGTTTTGATTGGAAGCTGAAATCGTTGACAAGGCCGCCATATTAATATTGGCAGCGTCGGTCAAGTGCTGGGCACCGCTTGGAGATTGCTGCAGTGTCGGCGGTGGTGGACATGGCAAGCCCATTTCGTGTATTGTCTTACATTTGCCGCACTTTTCCTTGGCTAAAGGTAACTGTAAATGAAAACGACAAAGATTTAAGTGATGCTATGATGGAGAGAGCGAAGTTTGGAGAGTTTCAAGTTAGAACCATCCTACCTGTCCAGCATCGGCAGTTGCTGCGGCAGCGGCCACATTAGCTGCTCCTGCTGCGGTGCCACCTCCTTTGGGACAATAATAGTTTTGGTGAGCCCGCAAATTGTCCAGCGATGTATACTTGATGCCACAGGCAGCACAAATTAGTTGTTGATAAGCAACAGGAGTTGCTTCTACGTTCGTAGCGCCGCCAACAATGCCAATAGGCGAGGTGTTGGCCGTTTTTGCTTCACCACCCTCGCTGCTCTCTTGATTGCGCGCTGAGCAATAGTGTTGCTTGTGTGCCAAATAGTTTTCATACTTACAGAAGACGATGTTGCATTCCTTGCACTTGGAAACACCCTGTTTAACATAAATTTGAGGTTGCACCGCGGCGCCCGCACCACCACCCACACTGGCGTTGTTACCCGTCGGTGCGGTGCTACCCAAAACCGGCATGCCGAGTAGCGAAGATTTTCCTGCAGCAGCAGCCACAGCTGCGGCAGCCAACTCGGCATGTGTCGAGCCATTGCCCACATTCGCTGGAGAGCTGTTGTTTACAGCAGCAGCCGCGACGGCAGAGAGCTTTAGTGCAAGTTCGAAGTTTTGCTTGGCTAACAATGGATTCATTATATTGCTTTCGGAGAGTTTTACCGCCAGATCGGTGGGTAACATTGAACGCAACGGTAGGTCGAGCATATTGCTAGCAGCGGCAGCGACCAAAGAGGCAGTTGACACATTTACTGGTGGTGACATTGAGGACGTGCTGCCGGCGCCGGAGCTACGTGGGCTTATTGCACGCCGTTTCGGTGAAGGACTCATAGAGGGACTATTCGGTAGTGATGGGGCGCAAACGATTTGTTCGGGTGTGACAGTGCCGCTTTCATCCATTGATAGATTTTCTTTACTTGCTTCCAACAGAGTCTCCATATCCATGCGTTGTTGTTCAGAGTCGGCGTACGAGGAGGCGGAGTGTGCACGCTGCCTCTGAAGACTAGCATAGGAAATGGGTGAACGACGTAGTGAGAGGTCTAATGGCGCGGATTCACTGTTGATAATAAAATAAATCACAGTTATAGAGTGCTAATATTTAGAGAATCTTAAAATACTTTAGGGTTGTATTAAAGATATGTCCACTTACCGCGCGCCCTCCTTTCGCTTTGGTGTCGACGTACCACTTCTATCAGCACCGCGCCCAGCATTCCTTTCGATTGGAGGTGCATCGTTAATCGCTTCATTGCTCGGCTGCGAAGGTTGACGAGCCGGCGGTGTTTCCACGGTAGGCATTTGTGGGTTGTTTAGATTGGCAGCAGATGCAACAATATTATTGGCGTTATTACCGCTTGCTGCAGCATTGGCGCTCAAACTGCTCATGTTCAGAGCTGTCGCTAGTGGTTTTAGGTTGCCATTATCCAGTACGTAGCAAGTGGTATCGGGGTTGGAAATTGATGTGGACACTGACGAACTACAAGAGTGGTTATTAGGTATGACAAAAGGTAAATATGAGAGACAAACTCAAGCATACTCCTCAGATACTTACAGTGGTCCGGGTATCCAGCTTGCCGCACGTATCAAAGAGCAAGGAATTATCAGTATTGGATTGGTGGGCAACGCCAGAAATGGTTGTGGTGGTGAAGCTTGTATTGATGCGGCGGCGGCAGCAGCTGCGGCAGCGGCCACCATTGCTGGTGTTGGTGTCTTCGTGCGTGTCTGTGGGCTGATGGCAGCGGCACCTATTGGCGCTTTAATAGTATTACCGGTGCTAACCTCCAGCTTAGGTGTTAGCTGACTGCAAGGAAAAAGAAATTTACGTATGAAGGGAGTTCGAAGTTAGAGTACAATTAAAAGTGTCCATCTTACCCCTCGGTACGCCGTGAACTACAGTAGTGTAGCTTGTGGGCACGATACGTCTTCACGTTATTGAATCTAATATCACAATCGCTGCAGTAACGATCCGTTTGCTGAAATGTCAGTAGAAAAATATTCGAAATTTAGTATATTTTGTTAAGCTCCAACTTTAACTGCGTTGCTCTCTTCTCGATTTTGTATTATCAACCAACAACTGACTCACTTGACTAGAACTTCCGTCATCCAAGGTAACTGCGCCGTTCGATGGTGGCGCGCTGCTACTATGCGCCGGCGAAGTTTGATGCATACGCATGTGACGATTGAGGGAGACCTTCTTGTCGGCGCTGTAGGAGCACTGTGTGCACGCATATTGTTTTCCAGTCTTAATGGCTTTGGCGGCAGGTTCCCCACTGCTATTACTTGAGCCAATATTGCCGCTTGTTGAATTAGTGGTGTTTGCGTTCATACCGGTGCTCTTCTCAGCGATTACGGTGGAGAGTGAATCTGCGTCGGCTTCCATGTCCTTATTGCTGGAAGAGTGAGAGTAGTCCGTATTAAAAATGCCACAGCTACCTTCCACACTCAATCAATGTACTTACCGATGCGAACAATAGTACAGCTGATGCGCCTCCAATGTTGATGGTGAACTAAAATGTATGCCACAAGGCAAACATACGAACAACTTGAGACGCGGTGCGATTTCCGCTGGATTGGCAGTAGTTTGTGCTGCTGCTGCTGCTGTTTTCAGCACCGGTTCTACCACACCGACGACTGGCGCATTCATCATCGCATCTATGTCTTCCTGTTTGGTAAGCGCCGGCGGTGGTGGCAATTGCGCGAGTCGATTTTTGCTTTGTGTTTCTTCGTGTAAGACTTTCAGGTCTTTTGCATCCGGTTTCAATGCCGGATCGGAAGCCAAAAGCGCATTTAAACGTAATTTAGGTAATATACTTGTAGGTGACGCGGTTGGTGGTGTCTCATTGCCGGCCGTCAGCAGATCCTTATGTGGACTGCTTCGACTGGCAGGCCGTGTGTCATTCGGGTTCGGCGAAGTTGATTCGATACTTAGCTCAGTTGGTTCTTCTAGCTTTTCAGGCTCTATATTCAATTCGATTTTATGCTCGGAGGGAAAAGCATCTGCAGAGTTTGAGCTATTCGCTGCAGTCACACTTGGCGACCGGCTCATTTCGTTTTCTTCTCTACTGCTTGGCGATATTCGATGTGGATTTGTAGGTAATATACGATTTTCGCCTGTGTCTCTTGTAATCGTATCGTCCTCCATTTCAATGTCAGTCTCTTCAAAGCGATGATCTTCGCGCTCTAAATGTTGTTGTTGATCATCTGTTAAGTCGGTGGGACTTAGATCTTTGGAATCTGAAATTGGGACAAAACCGTAATAATTAATAATTAATAAATGCGAATGTTTTGGAGGTGTTTCAAATATGTAGAAAAAATTGTTTTAGATCTTTAAGCCATTACCTTATATAACACAGCTCAAATACAAGTAAATTTAACAAATAATTATACTTCGTTTGACTCCATCAGAGACCAGTAGTTGCTTTCAAGTCAAGCCTTTCTTTTAAAAACCTTCAGAGCTCTATCTCATAATTCCAATTTTGCCATGACAAGCAATTTTGAAAGAATATAGGTATTGTTCATTGAAACAGAGGTAGCTACAATTATGTCAGGATAAAGTGGGTCGTTCTTGGACAATTTCAATGACGCATTGACCGTTGCCACTGTACCAGATCGTGAACAACTTAATTAAGAATCAGATTTGACTTAAATTTAAGGAAACAGAAGAGTTCTGGTATATTCTGCTTTCATCCGAGGAAGTTTTTCAAGATTGTGGAGTCCATTGTATTAAGAATAAGGACATTTAGTTTAAGTTCGCTTAGAGCAAATTAACCCTTTTCGTCAAGACGTTATTTTCACTCTCGTGAAACATATACTAAATCTCGCTCGAATGAAGAGAGAGAAACTTCGCAAAAGGCTGTGTTTAGTATGATAAGCCTTTAACTCTTGAGCACTTGAAAACCAACATTCGACTGATAATATTGCCGAGATTGTGGTAACCGTACGACCTTGAAATTCCCTTCTCCTCTCCATTGATATATTTGCCATCGCTCTAGCTAGTTTAGTTCGTCTCCTGTGTCGCGCTGAGTAAACATACCTTCGTTGTGCGAAAATGGAAAAACGAAATCCACAATGCGTTGCGTTAAATTTTTGCGCCAAAATGGGCGAAACAGCTTCCGAAACGTACGTTAAAATTATAAATGAGAGCTGGTTTTTTCAATACGACCCGGAAACCTAACGTCAAAGCTCACAATGATTGTCGTCTCTGTACGCCCAAAAGTGAAAACGATGGTTATTGCTTTTTTTTAGTAGCCGTGGAGTCGTCGATAAAAAATTTCTTCCACTGGGGCGAACCGTAAATCAAGTCGGAATTCTAGAAAGATTGCGAAAACGAGTCAACAGGGTGCGCACAAACAATGCTTGTAACTGGAGCCTTAATCACGAAAACGCGCCGTGCCACACCGCCCTCAGTGTGTCCCAGTATTTGGCCTCTAAGGAGATCGTCGCATTGCAACAACCGCCTTATTCGCCCGATATGTCATCCTGTGACTTTTTTTTGTAGCCTAAAATGAGATCGGTGGTCAAAGGAGCCCATTTTGAGTCGATTGAGGACATCCAGGCGGCCGTGACAAGGGTATTCGCTGACATCCCCGTCGAAGTGTTCCAGAAATGTTACGAAGCGCGCTGGAATCCTTGTATAGCTGCCTAAGGAGATTCCTTTAAAGGGGATGGCAGAGTCGTATAATAGTTTTGAAATATACGGTTTTTATGCAATCAGTCTCATTACTTAATTGTCACACCTCGTAATGCCAAGGTTTAAACTTTATAATAAAAGAGGAATTCCACGGAATATTTGTTTTAAAATTCATTTTAATAACTTTTATTTATGACTCGGTGCTTTTAAACTCTAAAGCGTTGTGGGTTCAATTGTAGAGGCTTTCCGGAGCGCTATGAAATGTTTTACTTTTAGGGAAACTGCGAATGTAGTGTAGAGATTATAAAACATTTATACCAATAATTTGAAACAAGTTTTCACACGCTTTCGTTGTTGCTACTTGCTAAAGACGGACAGTTAACTTCAATGCGCTATCGCGGAGAGCACAATGAGTTAAAATCAAATCTTCGCATCTTTTATATTTTATGCATTTAATGCTTTTCAGTTTCGATTATCCCCAAGTCAAGTGCTGTCGTGCCATTTTTACTTATATCACATTCATGCTGTCAATGACCCACCATTAAAATATCTACAATTCGATTTGATTGCAATTAAAAATATTCACGATTTTCATAGCTTATTAAAACACACACAATCTTCATTTATCAAATTGAAGATCGAAACGAGAAAAGTGTTTGTCCATCCATTTTTAAGCTTTGTGCTCGGGTGGGCTTATCGCCGCGGAAATATCGCACACAACGGCGTAATTCCATGGAACCCTATTAAACTGAACGCAACCAAAGCCATATGCACATATATATTATACATACAAACACATATAACATATTATATGAACGCATACATACGCACACATTTTGTTTCGTTTGTGAACCATACACAGAAGGGATTAGATGCGTGGAGACACACACACACACTGGCATAAGCAAAGATAAAGAATTTGTGTAGATGCAATTTCACATGAAATTCCCAAAGACCATAAAGTACTCATGTTGTGTCAACTTGACCAAAGGTTAACAATTATTATCGAACAAATTGTCAAGCGTGGAAACCTTTGCCGACTCAGACAGTGCGACAGTGTTGGCGTATGAAAATTGTACGCGTGTACTAAGAAACTGGGGAGGTGGAGACAAACGAAATCCTACCATTAATATTTTAACCCAGTAAGCATATTTAGAATACGCATCAGAGCCATCAGAGAATATTTAGTTTCTGGTCTCATCCGTAAGACTCCACAAGACAACTTTAGAAATCCAGTTAGATATCAAAAAATGTAAGTGGCAGATGGCAAAAAGTTCTAAGCAGAATACAAGCTCTTTCGTACTCCAACAGCTAATGACCAGCTGTGATGTGTAGACCAAGATTAGAACAGGATCTTATAATAATTTCTTTGGCATGCTAAAGCGTCTTAGTGCAGTGGGGTGATAAGTAAATGATAACCCATCGTTTTATACAGACTACACGAAGCAGTAATATGGCCCGTCTTGTGCTTCGAAATCACAGTTTGCTAGCAGGCATTCAACAAAGTTGCTTGTACTAGATAAAGTTCTGCGGACACCCTCATTATAGGAATGCTGCCTTGAACTCCTATGAGAGCGCTTAATACTGCCCTTAGACCTGTACTCTGGAATTCGCGAGAACAGCATAAGGCTGATTGCACCTCAATTACAGAAACCGCAGTAAAAAACACACCAAACTTCTGAACTCTGAACTCAGGAGAGGTGGACTATGTACATTATTTTGGTAATGCATTTTCAACAAAGCTCTCTGGGGGGAATGCATAAACCGTATGGTCGAAACCCGATGGCTCTTGGAGCCACACCTAAAATTGACATGAACAAGATACACTTCCCAGCCACACCACCCCCGAGAATGTAGTGCAATTTTAAATAAAATATCGACTGTGTGCAGAACAATGTTTGGGTTCTCGAACAAAACGACACGCCTGAAACAAGCGGACTAGGGGTAGACCTGTCCTAAACAACGTAGATCCTGAACTCGATGTGGACATAACTATTTCCTAGACAAAATATCTTCCATGAAGCTGTAAGGACCAGTTAGTGGTATGAAGAATAAAACACGGGCACGTTGCTTAAAAACAACTGAGAATATTGCTGCTGTAACCCAAAGTGTTGTAGAAGACCCAGGTTTGTCCATTACTTCTTTAGAATTGCGTAAACCCACAAACGATTTTGCATAAAGATACAAGAACTCAAGTCAGCCGATCGTCAACAACGTCGTGTGTTTGCTGATTGGGTCCTTAAAATGCATGAAAATTATCCGGACTGATGAGTCCCATTTCTACCTCGATGGCTGCGTCAATGAGCAAAACTGTTGCACCTGGGTCTCGGAAACTCCAAGATTTATTGTTGATAAGCATATTCATCCTTAAAATGTAACTGTTTAACGCGGTTTATGGTCCGACGGAGCTATTGGACCTTACTTTTTCGAAATCGAGACCGGAGTAACTGTTACGGTGAATAAATTGCGCTATCGACAGAAAATTAATGATTTTTTGTGACCGGATTTGGATGGTGTTGATCTGGTCAACGTTTCCTTTCAACAAGACGGCGCTATGTGCCACACAAGCAACGAAACCATCTATCTTTTATGGGAAAAGCTCCCGCATCGTGTTATCTCTCGAAGAAATCATCGTAAATGACCGCCGTGATCTTGTGATTTAATACTTTGAGATTTCTTCCACTGAGGCCACATGAAAGTTGAGGTCTGCACCAAGAGATCAACGTCTTCCCAAGACCTCAAAGATTGAATTCGTTAAGGTAATGAGGGCATCTAGTAACCACTTTGCGATTTGGCGATGGAAAATTTCATAAGAAGAGGCCTTTTTAATGAGCTCAAAATGGTCTAACAACGAAGCAGGAGGATTTCAGTTTTAATCTTGCCAAAATCTCCGTAAACAGTTCAAACATTGCAATAAAAGCTTCTCATACAAATTCATTCGACAGTCTGAAGGGGCCTTAAAGGTATAAGTTGCTGCGTTTGAAGGAAAAACAACGTTTAAGCCTTTCGCGTTTTACTTTGTGTTTACATTTTTCTCCGCATCGATTATTGATACCAAATACACCCACCACCCTAATGCATCCCAACAAAATAAGCAGTAAAATGTGAAATATAAATACCTCCTTGAAACCCAGTTGGATTAAGCATACGAGGTAGAGGAGGGATTCCACTCAGCCACAAGCCGTTAAGGATTAGAAAATCGCTTGATATCTGATTTGTATGTTACAAAATATTATAACGACCGCAGATACGCGACACGATAACGACGGCACTGATATGCGCTGTCAAGCAGGAGAAGTCGCACCGAAACTAAAGTCTTCCAGCGATGTGTGTTGTCGTCATGTGCGTTCAAGCGTCTTATGCTGATACGCATTTGATATGACAGATGCGATAAGAGTGGGATAGGAAAAAACGGGAAATAAAAGCAACACAAAAGAAATACAATGTACATATGTATGTATGAATGTAGAAAAAAGCAAAGCACAGTTTAAAGCAAAAAAAAAAAATAATAAAAATAAATAAAAAGAAAACCAGCCACGGTTTGTCATGAAGCATTTGTGTAGAGCGGTTGGCGGTTGGCGGCGCGCGGCATGGTATTGCAACA